TTGTTTTCTAGTTTTTTTTTTTTCAATGAGGAATAACACACATTCCGTAGAGTGCACAAATCTTAAGTGTACGGCTTTTTTTTTTTTTTAACTTACCTGTGTAGTAACCACCACCCACAGCGTCCCAGCATGCCTTTCCTGCTCTGTGCCCTCTCCTTGAGGCAACTGCTGTTCTTCCTGCTTCCCTCACAGATTCATCCTACCCGGCCTAGAGCTGTATAGACGCACTTGACTTCTCCCAGCCAACATGGTATCTGTGTGAGATATCATGCTATCATCCGCATTGTCACAGGTTCGGTCCTTTTTCATTGGTAAGTGGTATTCCATTGTATGGACATACCATAATTTTCTCCTCTCATCTCCTGCTGACTGGCCTTTGAATTGTTCCCCCTTGGGAAATGATTATGAATACGGGTGCTGTGGACGTTTCCACGTTCAGCTCACCGCTTACCCTGGTGAGCAGCCGGGAGGTGCCGTGCAGGTGCAGGGGTGTGTGCGCCAGGATCAGGCAGCGGCACTCCTGGGCTAACACGTTACGGCGGCTTGCATGCATGTTAAAAGGGGCATGGGTAAAGATGCCAATAGCTACAGCATTCGTAGTTGCAGAAATAAAGTAAACTAGGTAGCCTGAAATGCCCACCCACAAGAGAGGGGGTCAGTAAATTGTGGTATAGTCGTACAATGGAATACTATATACAAATAAAAGTAAAGGACATAAAGCCAGTTGTGTCAGTGTGGATGGCTCAGGAACAATGTGGCGTGGAAAAAAAGCAGGACCTGGGAGCGTACATACTCTACGGTGCCATTTACAGACGACTTTAAAACGCAGTGCACGACGGTCACTCAGCCCAGTACTATGTGTCGGCTAGGAACACGTCTGTATGTAATAAAAGTACAAAAATTGCATGGCGTCGATAAAGACAAAACCGAGAATGACGACTTCTTCAGGTGGGGAGGGAAGAGCCTGTGAAATGGGCGGGACAAGGAAGGAACCGAATTCCTAAGTGCTGTACGTGTCCAACCCCGAGAGCTGGACACAGGCAGTTGGCGTTTTACTCTTAAACCTGACATGCGTCGTTATAATTTCTTAAAAAGGTGAAGGGATGGCGAAAACCGAGGGACATGGCGTTCCGGCATGTGCTTGACTGTTGGCGGTGGGGAGGGGACGGTTTGGTTTGCAGTGGTCACCTACGGCTCCCACCACGGCGGAGTTCACACTTCTAAGGCGACGCCAGCTGCCGGCTCCACACTCTGGTGGCCTCCTGAAAGCGGAACACTCGGCGCTCAGGAGCCGGCACGCACCCGCCACTCGCCTTGAAGACTTTTCCAACACTCTCTGAGGTGGGTTGAGGGCCGGACTGTGTTTGTGTTGCTGTCCACAAGGGATATTTGCCATCTCACACAAAGTCCCAGAGCATTTTGCTGGGTGGCTCTGGCCCACGGTCTCCCGAGGTCGGCCAGAGCCACAGGCACTGGGAGCGCCGCCGGCAGCCGGAGGGCTTGCTTCCCAGCTCCCTCCCTGCCTCCTGCCCTGGACACCCCACAGAGCGGCCGGCTTTCTCCCCAGCAAGTGAGAGAGAGAGAGAGAGAGAGAGAGAGAGATGCCCGGATGGAGGGGCAGTGACTTCTACGACCTAACCTCAGAAACGACCCTTCCACAGGGTCCTCTTGTTCACCCCCACGGCCGCCAGCACACAGGAGGGGGCGACAACGCCGGGGACCTGCCACAGCCAGGCCTGGACCAGGGTCGCCTCGCCCAAGCCGGGAAGAGTTCCTCCTTCCCTCACATTCTCCCTCAGTCAAAAACCAAGAAGACAGCCTGCTTATTCCCACACCCCGCCCTGGGCTGTCGGGAAGGCGTCCCCAGAAGCCCACGAGAGCGGCACGTGCCATCGTGTCCCCAAGTCCCTCGTCCATGCTGGCCTCTGGGGTGCCACCACCTTTGGGGGTCCGGTGCTGTGCCGTCTCAAGGCTCCGTGACCTCTGAGCGACATAGAACACTGCCCCGACCTGGAAGGCGGCCAGACAGGCATGAGTCCCACTGTGTTTCCATGGGTCACACATCCTGTGAAAACACGTCAGGTCGCACACTTGTGATCCGTACAATTTTCTACATGAATGTTATGCTGAAAAGTTTTCATTAGCCCCGGCTGGTGTGGCTCAGCGGACTGAGCACCGGCCTGAGAACCAAAGGGTCACCGGTTGGATTCCCAGTCAGGGCACAGGCCTGGGTTGTGGGCCAGGTCCCCACTAGGGGGCGCACTGGCACAGGAGAAGCAACCCACATGGATGTTTTTCTTTCTCCTTTCCCCTCTCTCTAAAAATAAATAATATATATTTTAAAAAGTTTTAATTAAATAGTCCCAAAGACGGGGACGTGTGTGGGGGAGGATTCCAGACAGGTGTGCAGCGTTCTCTGAGCCGTTGCCCGCCCTGTCCGCCAGGTACCCCGGGGACGCCGTGGGGCGGCTTCCCTTGGGTGGAGTCCTGAGGGGCAAGAGGTGAAACGTGAAAATTGGAGGGTCCTTGGCACCCGGTAAGTAACAGTGAGATGTTCAAGGGGTGTGGGCACTGCCAGCACTGCCCCCCCCCCCCCCGCTCAGCGGCGAGGCCTCAGAGACTAAAGTGTTCTCTGCGTGCGTGGTAGGGTTCCCAAAACTCAGGATTACAGTGCGGTCCTCAGCGCTTCATCTTGGCAGGCCAGCAGGGCGGGGACAGGGCAGCCAAGGGGGTCAGACCAGCGCCACCGAGTGGATGAGCCGGGGCAGTGCATCGGCTTCTCTGGGGATGGTCCCCCTTGACCCAGTTCTCCATGCCTCTACCTGGGCGTCGCCTTCCAGCCACTGTTCGCCATCCTCCTCTTGACCCTGGAACACAAAACCGACCGGGCCTTGTCACCACAGTCGCTGCTCAGGAAATGCTGGAGACGAGGAAGGAGTGACCCGAGGCAGGCCTCTCCCAACCCCCGTCATGTGGAGCTGTGGCAGAGGTGGGGTGACCGAGAGGCTGGGGATGTGGCTGGGAGTCAGGGGAGAAAGGACCGGTGAGGACCCTGGCTGTCCCGGGGCCAGGCCCCCGGGTGGGTCAGAATTTCCCTAGTTTCCCTTTCTTGTCCAGTCGGGCCAGGCCAAGCCCCACTGCACACCCAACACCCACCCCTCTGGTCTGCAGGCTGCACTGCAAGGCGACCCTCCTGCTGCCCGGTGCAGGGTGCTGAGCGAGCACAGTGGCTGGGTGGGGTTTCAGCCGTGGGCACAGCTGACCCGCCCCCAGGGTCCTCACAGCTTCCTGGGCGTCCCTAGATGGGTCTGCTCCCCACCCACTGGGTCTCGCGGGTTGCTTTGGCCTGGCCGGACACTGAGGCCTTCTCTCTTACCCACTTGCTGTCCCGCCCTGGGCTCCCCGTTCCCAGCCCCCACCGGGCTCATTGTCCTCCGACCTGTCGAGGCCTGTGGTCAAGTCAGCTCAGACCGCCCTGTGGCCCTGGGTCCAGTTAGTGCCCCACCCCACCCTTGCTGGGGGCACTTTCTGCCTCATCCACTCCCACCCCCCTCTCCAAAACCCTCCCCGTGCAGCTGATTTCTTAGGAAGTCACCCCCACCACCTTCCTCACAGAGGCAGTGCTGATCCAGAGACAGGAGTGGAGTCCCCCCCCCCATTCAGGTGCCCTCGGCGGTGGATCACTTCTACCTTAAACCTGGGGTGACGACAGGGACCCCAGGGAGACTCGGGGGGGCCCCAGGCTCTCAGGGAAGCAGTGGCTGCAGTTGCTGTGTGGTGCCACGGAGCCCAGCACGTCCCCGGAGCCGGTGGCAGGGTGTCCCCTGGCACTGCCTTCACACCTGCTCCGCCCTGAGCTCAGGTGCCTCAGTGCCAGGGCTGGGGCCCCGGAGCTGGACCCCGGGCCGTGGTGGGTCAGAGGTGGGGGTGCACACCTCCAGCGCTCCCTGGGGCGTGCTCCTCAGAGCCCAGTCCCTCCAGAGATCCGGGGCAGAGCGTGCGGAGGTCCACACCAAGTTGGACAGCGCTGAGCTCCAGCCCCGGGGTGGGGGGGGGTGTGGGGGGGTCACAATGCACGTTAGCATAGTAGAGGCTCTGAGAAGGCCTGCAGGAAATAAACTTACCTAATCTGTGATTCCTAAACTCACGCAGTCACAGACTTTTTTTTAAAGAATGGATGCCAACAGGCACCTTTCACACCTTTTGGAAACCGCTCACTCAGCGTCCGCACTCACCAGGGAGGGTGGCAGCGGGCCCCGCCTCGCGCTGCCACCGCGAGAAAGCTGTCCCAGGCGTGGAAGGCTGGGTCTCCGACCTCCCTGGTGTCCATGGGGCAGCAGTGTGTAGCGGGGGCTGGGACCTTGTTAGCAGTGCAGGACCCCGGGCCCCACCCAAGGCCGCCTGCTCTGAGAGCAGGTCAGCACACGCAGTGGGGGGCCCTGTCCCACACCTGCCGGCCTTCCCCCTCCACGACGGCCACTTGGGTCACGTCCCCAGCCAGGTGGGGGCTCTGGGCCCCACATCCAGATGGAGTCGGCATGTTCCGAACCTCGCACCTGTTTGGGGAATTCCCCACGTCATGACTCCTCCTTCAAGGGCCCACACGGGGATCCGTGGGGACTGTGGCCGTGGAAGAGGCTCATGGGAAGGACCAGGGCCCTTCGTCTCTGCCCAGGTGTCCCTTCCCCAGAGACGCCTGGTGACGTGGGGACGGTCATCTGGGGCAGGGGTCCAGCTGGAGTCACGTCCGGGAGGCGTGCACGGCCCCCCTGGGAGTCAGCAGCGGTCATTCCCAGGGGTCAACCACGGACCCCTCAAACGGTCCCCCAGCCCCTTAGAGCCTAGGAGAAAGGAGGGGAGAGCCGGCATCTAGGGAGAAGACGTTTATTGAGAAGGTGCTACAGAAACAGCTACAGAAAGCGGGGGGGGGGGGGATGGGGACTAGGGAGCAGCTGCCGCGCCCCTCCGCACACTGGGTCACTGAGGGGCCCACGGGGAGGGCTGGGGGGGGTGGCAGGAATCTGTTAATGACCAGAGGGGGCAGGGGCCCTGAACACCCTCTGGCCCCAGGAACCTCACACCAGAGAGGGGGAGGGAGTGGGGGTGGGGGGGCGGATGCCGACAGCCCAAGTGTCCCGCGGGACAGCCGGGGGCGTCGGGGAGGCCGGGACCCCCGGCGTCACTGGGTGAGAGCCTGCACCACGTCCTTCACCAGCATGGTGCCGATCACCATCTTCTCGCTGTTGACGGTCAGCTGGGCCGGTCCCGGGGGCCGCGCGACCAGGGTCAGCAGGACCAGGCTCCCGCTGGTCAGCGTCCTCCCTGCGAACCTGAGGTGGGGCGGGGAGGGGAGAGGGAGGGGTTAACCCCGGGGGATGGCGCCCCCACTCCCCACCAGGCCCAGCCGCCTCTCTCTGCCTGGGCGGCGGCCCCGTACCTGTACTCGTCAGACGTCCCGCAAGGGACGCGGCCCAGGTTGGCAGTGGCGGTCACTTTCTGCACCACAGCGTGGTCACTGCGGCAGGCGTCCGGCAGCGCGAGCTTCTCGGTGATCTCGTTCATGCCCGTCAGCTTTCCTGGGGGCAGAGGTCGTGATGGGGGCAGAGGCTGCGGGGGCTCGCCCCGGGCTGCCCACCCACCGAGCTCCCTCGCCCGTCCTCAGGCTGGGCCGGCCTGAGTCCGCTCAGTGGTCCTGGGAAGGGGGACCTCCCAGCCCACCCGGGGCTCCGTCCGTGTTGCGGACCCCAGACGGACTTGGCATTGCCCCACCGCCGGACATCTGGGCCCCCGCCCCTCAGGAGCACCCAGTCCCTTCGTAGAGGTTCCCTCCAGCCTGGACCCCACACCCTCTGGCCTTCCCTGGCCGGCTCCCCAGCCGAGTTCCCGTCCCCTCGGGCTCCTGAGGCGGAGTCCTCACGGGGGACTGGCCCTCGCAGGGGGACCCCTGCCTTCACCTGGGGCAGCAGCCAAGGTGCTGGACCCACGGGAAGGCCCCCTGGGCAGGCCGGCCTCTCCCCCCCCTCCACTCCCACGCCCTCTCGGCCAGCGTGGGCTCCTTGTCCTCCGCCGCCTCTCCAGCCCCTCCCCCGCCCCTCCTTTCCTCACTAGTCGGGTTTTCTCGCCGGTGCCTTCCGCCTCTCCATGTCCAAGGCTCTTTGCTCCTAAGAAGTCCTCCCCAGAAGCCAGATTCCTGCCATGCCAAGGCCGTGCCTCCCTCCCCTTCCTCGGCCAGAGCCCCTCCTGGAGGACCCCACTTCCTCGGCGGGCCCCTTCAGCCCCCCCACCAGGCCTGCCCGGCCGGCCTCTGCCCCCTTCTGCACCGACCTACCTACCGGCCTGCAGACCCCTCCCCCGGGCCTGGTTCTCCCTGCACCCACTCCTTTGCTCCTTCTCCTACCCCACCCCCGCCCGGAAGAATGTGAGTTTTCCTCCTTGGGGAAGGCCCTTGGCTCTCTCACCTTCCCCCCCCCCCCCCTCCCCTCCCAGGTGAGCTCACCGACACTCACAGCTTCAGTGGTCACTTCTGGGTTCGCGACTCCGGCCCGGAAGTGCTTCCTGGGCGCACACCCGCCTTTCCCCCCGAACTTCCCAAAGGCGCCGCAGAATCCACGGCAGAATGGGCTCGCCCAAAGCCAGCCGTGGCCCTCCCTCCTCCCTCGCCCACACCCACTCTCGCCTCCCAGATCAGCGGTTTGGCCAGGTGCAGCCTGCAGGCCAAATCCAGACAACCCCTGGGGGCCCCAAACGGTGCCTGCAGGGCAGGCCGCCCGGCCCACAGAGCCTGCGTGCTGGCTTTCCCGCACGTTACAGGAAACGCGCGCCGACCCCCGTCTGGGCGAGGGGTGCTGCCAGTCTCCTTACCACCCAAGCCCGGATTCTAGAACAGCTTCCACACCTCCCTCCCTGCCCTTCTCGGGAAAGGCCTGTGACTTCCCTCCTCCCAGCCCCGCCCCCTCCCCAGCCCTCCCCTCCCTTCCTCACCATCTCCCATCAGGTCTGCTGCAACCACAACGGCCTTACAGCTGGGCACAGAATCTGGTCCAGGCTCGCACACCCAGTGCGTGCAGGGTCAGAACCTGAGCCAGCGCTCTGGGGCCCATCCCCCGTTTCTCCAGCTGAGGGCGGCCTCGGGCCTCCGCCTGGCCCCTCCCCCACCCAGTCCCCTCCCAGGACTCCGGAATCCGCCCGGCTTAGCTCTCCAAGGAGGGCGTGGGATCCACCAACCTCTGCGACCCCTTCCAGCCGCGCACAACTCTGGGGCCCAAACCCTTCAGCACGGCATTCAAGGCACCCAGAAATCAGACCAACTCGATCTCCAGCTTCGTGCTTACCGCTCCCCTGTCCTGGGGACTCCACGCCCCAAACCACACTGCACCCCCTTTTCTTCCTGAAAACTCTTCTCCAGCCCTCACTGGCGATGTTTCCCCGGCTGGGATGCGGGCCCAGAACTCTCGGCCGGCCGGGCTGACACTCCCCCGAGCCTCCCTGACGGGTCCCGGCCTCTGCGAAGGCGCAGACTGCGAGGCCTCGGGGTCTGGAGGAGCTGAGGGTCCTCGGGCGAGGCTGGGCGCTGCAGCTCGCCGGGCCCCCGTGCGCGGTGCTGAGACGCACCCGTCCACCCTCGGGGAGCACTCACCCTGCTCCTTCTTGAACTCATTCTCACTCATGAACACGGGGGCCATCAGCTCCCCGACAGGCGGCTGGATGGAGACGTAGAACTGTCGGGTCTGGGTGCTGGGGTGGAGGGCAGAAGACGGAGGCAGGCGGTGAGGCCCGCATCCTCCCCGCGCCTCCCACTTTGGGGGCGGGGCTTGCAGGCGGCCGGAGACTGAGGCAAGACCTGAGCACTGCGTGCGGGCGGCTTCCAGACCCTCCACGGCACCGTGCTCCTCCCCCCTCCCCCCACCGCCACCACCCTCCGGTTCCAGGGTTCCAGGTCACTGTGACCCCACCTCCCCCAGCCCACCCTCCCACCCACCACGAGACGGACACACACCACAGCTGGAAGTTGGCTGCCTGGGTCGAGTCGCAGAAATTAATGCCCATGACGGCAGTGGCAGACTCTCCGGGGGCCAGGGACTCTGCAGAGGGCGGTTGGGGGGGGTGGTGGAGGGGAGAGACACCGTCACCTGGCAGGCCAGGCCTGAATCCCAGGCCCAGCTCCCCTCCGCCGCCAGACCTGACCCCACCACTCCGAGCTTCCTGGGCCCTGGAGACTGTTCCTGGTTTTCCGCTCAAATCTGAACACCCTCCCAGCCACCCTCAAATGACCATTGAAGTCAGTGTTGAAACAGCCACGCCTCCAGCGCCCCCTGCCCTGGGTTGGCACTCGCTCCTTGGCAGGTGTGGTCTGCCCCCCAGGGCAGGGGCCGTGCTAGGTGCCCTCTCTGGGGCACTCCCCCTGGCCTGGCACGGAGGGAACTCGGCAGCCACAGAAGGACTGACTGGCCCTGCCCGGGGCCGCACCGATCTCAGGAAATTCCTGGATGCTGATGCCAGCCGGCAGTTTGGGGGTGCCCACGTGCAGGCCCTTGACGGGCGTCTCAGAGCTGTTGGAGAAGTGGATGAGCAGAGACACCATGTGGGGGTCCCCGGGGAAGGGCTGGCGGCTGAAGGCATAGTCCACGGCCAGCCCCTCGCCCGCCACGCGGTGCAGGAGCTCCTGCCTCCCCACGCTCGAGGCCGGGCTCAGCAGCTGGGGGAGAAGACGGGGGAGGGGGGGTGCGAAAATGAGCAACAGGCAGCCCACCCGGGCCCTGTCCCCACCTGGGGGGGAGGTCATCCGGCAACGGGGACCCCAGGCGTCCCCCGCCACCACACCCGAGGCCCAGCTCCGCGCCACAGGACGCAGCCCCGCCTGTCCCGTCCCCCTCACCGAGGGCACCAGCGGCGAGTCTGTGAGGGTCAGGCCCTCCAGGTCCGCAGCCAGGCTGGTGGACACGGCCGCGGGCGGAGACACGGGCTGGACGCTCGGCGGGGCGACTGTGGGGCAGACGAGGAAGACTGCGGGTGGGGAGAGGCCGCGTGGCACAGGCCTGAACTGGGCGGGGCTCGAGGAGCAGACCGTTCAGCACCACGGACAGCGGGCCCCGGGCAACCTGGAGGCTCTCAGTGGCGACCCACCCTTGACCCCAGCCCCACACCCCGTGCCCTCTCAGGTGCCCTCTCAGGTCGGAGGACGGGTTCCCTCTGCTCCCCGCACCCCCAGCCCCGAGGCACCCAATCCAGCGCGCCCACAGGACCTTCCTAAGTCACTGCCCGGGCTCCCCCCACCATGACCCCGGGGGCCCAGACTCACAGTCCTCTAGGTCCAGCAGGGAGACCTCCTGGGCTGCGGGGGCACTTCTGCTGCTGGGGGGCTGGGGAGAGAACGGAAGTGGGTGTGGCAGGAAGCGCCGGTGCAGCCACCTCGGTGAGCTCTGGCCGGCGGGAGGGCCCTGGCCCTGCGCCCCAGCCGCCCCCTCCGGGCCCAGGACTCTCACCGTCTTCTTCCGCCAGGACGCCGGTTCCGCCTGCTCCTCCTCCGTCTCCGACGACCCCTCAGACTCCGAGGAGCCGCTGCTGGAGCCGCTGCCCTCCTCCTCCGAGGACGAGCCCTCCCCCTGTCCCTTTGTCTGCGCCTTCTTCCTCTTCTTCGTCTTGCTCTTCTCCCCTTCCTCCTCGCTCTGCTCACTGCAGGGCAGGGGGCAAATGGCACTCAGGCTCGGACTGGGCTCCCCCTCCTTGCCTCACAGGAGAGCGGGGACACCTTGAAAAGCGGGGGTGAGGGTGGGGAGCCCGGGCCCGCGGAGTCCTGCACCAGCGCCGGCCCCCCATGCTTCTCCATGCTGCAAACTTCAGAGCCCCAGCGCGGGAGCTCTCCCCCTCCCCCGCCCCCCCTTCCCCAGGGAGACCTCCAGCCCCGCCCCTTACCTCTCACTGCTCCTCCCCTTCTCCTCCTCCTCCCGGTCTTCCTCCTCGGACTCGCTGCTGGACTCCCCGGAGCCGCTCTCGCTGCTGCTCTTGCTGTCCGATTCGCTCTCGGACTCGGGGTCTGCGGAGGGCAGTGTCAGGCGCCCCTGCCTGTGTGCGGGCCCCTGGGTCCCCAGCAGGTGCCCTGGGCTCCCAGCGTCAGACTGGGCGCTGAAGCTGCAACCCCTCTCCCCCCAGCCTGCCCCTGGTCCCAGGAGCCGCCGGACCACCTGCGATGCAGATGGGGCCACCTGGATAGAGACCTGCGTGTGCACGCACACACCTGGGGCCAGAGCCCCTCCGGTGAGCAAGTGCACATGCAGGCACACAGCAGGTGCACGCCCCTCGGGTACACGACCACGTCACTCACTCACACACACACACACACACACGGCACACGCGTGGGGAGCAGCCCGGGGCCCGGCCCTCCATCTCCTCACCGCTGTCTGCGGACTCCGTGGGGCCCGACTCCCCCTCAGAGTCCGAGTAGAAGGGCTTCTCCTTCTCCTTCCTCTTCTCCCGGTTGGAGCACTTGGTCCACTCCGGCACCTGGAGACGGGAGTGGGGGCAGGGCTGCTAAGTCGTGGCTGGGGAGGGGGCATCTCATCCTTCACCCCCACTCTTCTGGGGCCCGACCTGGCCCTGCCCCGGGGGGCACAGCTGGGGGGGGGCAGGGGGCCCTGCGGGACCAAGGGAGACGCAGAGGGGAGGGAAGGCTCAGGTGGGAACACACGGAGGGGGGACCGGAGAGAAAGCACTGCCCGCGAGCGGAGGGCACACGGCACACGGCACACGGAGGTGTGGGGGACCTCGGTGTATTCGCCCAACAGGCCCACGTGGGTCTCGATAAGGGAGAGATCTTCTTCCTGCATGTGGGGAGCGTGTCAGGGGGGCCGGGCCGGCACTGGAGACACGGGGTGGGGGGGGCTCCCTGCTGTCTGTCTCTCCCCCTGCATGGCTCAACCCTCCACCCCTGCTGACCTCCACATTGCGCACGGATGGGTCCGGGGCTTCCTCTGGCCAGTCCGGGAGCTCCTGGTAGCCCGTGGCCTTGGCATTGAGCAGGTGGGACAGCGAGCCCAGCTGGAAGTGGTCCCGGTCTGCGGACAAGGTGAGAGGTCGTGCAGGGTGGCAGTGAGGTGCTGCCCGGGGAGCTGTTTCCTGGGGGCTGTGGCGATTCCGGCAGGGACGCCCTGGCTGGGTGGGTGGAGGGGGTGGGCGTGCCCTCAGGGGCTCTTCCAACCCAGCCGCACCCTCGGGTCCGTACGCCGGAAGGAAAGCATGTCCGGCCTGACCCTCACAGGGCTGGGGGGTGGGGGCGGGTGGGATGGCAGAGGAGGGCCGGAGGGGACTCTGGCCCCACGGGTGCTGCTGGCCACTCTGCCCGGCCTGCCTGCTGCGGGGGGCGGTGGAAGCTTGGGGTGGCGTCTCTTCCAGGCGGTGGGAGCATGTGATCCTGCTCACCGGGCCGGGCAGGGGGCCGAGGGGTGAGCTGCCCCCATGGCCATGGGAGGACGTCAGACCCAGAGGGGGCGGCACAGAGACTTTCGAGTAGGGTCGGTGTTGGCAGGAGAAAGAGCTGGTTTCCCTCCTTCCCAGATTTCCAAATCCCGCCCCCTGACCTCAGACAGAGGTGCAGAGGAGAGAGAAAAAGCAAAAGATAACAGGACGACCAGCAAGCTCTATGAAGAGAGCTCCGTCCCAGGTGGGTTCCTGGGTCCCAAGAGTCGTGTGAGGACCCTCCTCGCCCACCCCTCTCAGAGCCCTTGTCCCGGAGGCGAGCTCAGACAGAGGCCAGGATGAGGGCCTGGGCCCCGGGGGTGACCCCCAGGGGCAGCCCGGAGTGCGGCCGCTGCCTCGTCAGGGCCCTCGCCCACACGCACCTCTCCCTGGGTGGTGGTGGTTACTTCCTGCCTTCCCGGCCCTTGTACTTAGAGTCCCGATACCGAGACCCGGTGGGCGACGGCCCACCCACTGGAGGGCTGGGACCGGGCCTCGAGGAAGCTGGTGGGGGCTGTGGGTGGGCAGAGTCACCGTGGGTGCTGCAGGGATGGGCACAGGGGACTGGCCTTTCTCTAGAAGTCCTGCCCGCAGAGCCTGTGCCCGGCTGAGACAGAGGCCTCGGGGGAAGCTCCGGGGCCAGGCCCCCACCTTTGAAGGACGACTCCAGGACGGGGGCTGGCTTGGGCGCCAGGAAGAGCTTCTTGGCGTGGCGGCTGAGGGCCCCGCCCTGCTCCGAGGGGACGATGAGCTGCCGGGTGAAGCGAGCGCGGTCGCGGATGTCGTAGTTCTGGTCGTACTTGGCCAGGCTCAGCACGTACTGGGTCAGCAGCTTGGTCTGGGGGACGAGGGGGCGGCAGCAGTGGTCAGGGAGTGGGGACACGGGGGGCGGTGTCAGACCCGGGCTCTGAGCCAACGCGGACGCCCTCACACAGAGCTGCCCTCCCGTCTTAGACCGGCTGCACCCACCCCTGTCCCTCCCCCATCCCTGACTCTGGACCCCAACTTTTTAAAAATAATTTTTTAAAGAGTTTTTATTTTTAGAGAGATGGGAAGGGGGAGAGAGAGAGAGAGAGAGAGAGAGAGAGAGAGGGCGAGAAACATCAATGTGTGGTTAACTCATGCACTCCTTACTGGGGACCTGGCCTGCAACCCAGGCCTGTGCCCTGACTGGGAGTCGAACTGGTGACCCTTTGGTTCGCAGGCCAGAACTCAGTCCACTGAGCCACACCAGCCAGGGCCTGGCCCCCAGTTTCTGACAGCTGCCCGGGGTCCGCAAAAGAGGCTGTCCTTTCGCGCTCTCCCCCTCTTGGCCTTGGACTCCAACACCATCCTGGGGCCCAGCACTTGGCTCAGCCCCGAGCCTATCGGACCCCCCACCTGCACAGCTCCCCACCCACACTGCCTCCTCTTCCCATCTGTGTTCACAGGGGCTGCCTCTCGCCTGTTCCCGGCTCCACCCACCCAGAGCACAGGAGGCACGCAGACATTTGTCCGAAGACTGAATGCTCCCCAGGGCACTCGCTCGCCTTCCCTTCTCCGATCTCCTCCTCCTACGGTCCCAACACCCACAGACCCAGGGCCCCTTTGCGTCCACATGAACTGCTGTCCTTTCCTGCTCCTGACTGTTGTCCCAGCACAGCAGGGCTCCACTGCCCAGCCTGTCCCGGGGCCCACTGCAGCCCCCGGATCAGAGGGGCCACCGGAGAAGCGCAGCGCCACCACCGGAAGGCCCCCATGGGAAGCCAAGAGTCCAGCGTCCAGCCCCTCAGGTCCCGGGGCCCCCAGAGGAACCGCGGGCGCTGGGGGAACACCGGCTACCAGGACAGACCAGCCACCTGCCTCGAACTCTCTCTTCAGAAAGCGGTGCCACAGGTCACGGCCCCCCCCCCTCACCCCCGGGAGGCCCTTGGGGCACTGCCTGCGCTGCGGCTGGGGACCAGGCATCAGACAGGCACCGCTCAGTCTCTACCTGCTTGGAGTTGGTCAGGTAGAGCTTGGCCGCCAGGTTGATGACCTGCAGCTTGACGATGTCCTCCTCTGCAGTGAAGGACTTGGCCATCTTCCTCAGGACGTCGGGCGCGATCTTGGGCACGTGCTCGCAGTACTCCCCGATGAGCCACAGGATGCTGGCTCGGGCCATGGGCACCTGTGGGTGCGGCAGAGGCGTGAGCAGGGGGACGCCCAGGCGACGGCACCCCTGCCGTCCACGCCGGCCTCCGGGACCATGGGGGCCTCGAGACCCCGTCGGGGGGAGGGTGGTGGGAGACGGGGTAACAGGTGGGCACTTCCTGGGCAGCAGCTCCCCTCTTCCCCGGGGTGCCACTGGCTTGTCCGAGCCCCAAAGTCGGTCGTGACTGAAAACACTGACGTTCCGGACCCACTGCACCCTCGGTGCTTCCCTGCCACGTTACTCTTCCTGGACGCTCAGGGACGCCTCGTCTTAAAGTTCGGACGGGGCAGAGAAACACGGGGTTTGTCGACTGTCTGCTCTTGGCCAGAGCGCCAGAGGAAACACTACAAAGTGGGGAGTCCAGGGAGTGGTCCCCAAAGGGAGCGCGAATCTTGGGCCGCGAGGTCAGGGTGACAGTGTCCCATCTCTCCCCGCCTTCCACCGGAAGACCTTTCCGAGCCAGGGTGGAAGGTGCGAGGTCGACGTCGTTCCTGACAGGGCCTTACAGTCACGGGGCGGACCCGGGGCGGGGAGGGGACACGGGGCGGCCCCTCACCTGGATGTTGTCCGTGAGCTTCGCCAGGTGCTTGATGATCTCCCCGTGCTGCGCCGGCTGCATCTGCAGCAGCTTCTTGATGACGACCACCGACTCTGCCACCACCAGCTCTGCAGGGGCCCCTGGGACCATCAGGTGGCCACGCCCGGGGGGGACAGCCGCCCTGCGACACCCCCAGGCCCCTGGCCCTCCTCCTCCTCCCCCCCTGCACTTCTCCACGGGCCCTCAGAGACGCAGGGGCACTCGGGCGCTACTTGAGGCGGACAGACTGTGTGATGGACACGCATTGCGCCTGCACAGACAGGGGGTGCCCGCCGGTCGTGTGAGGCGGACGTGCAGGCAGACCCCCGGCGGACGTCGGAGCCGGACGCCCCGCCACGCACTGACCGTCGCGGTTGGACAGCAGCTGCACCAGGCCGTTGAGGCAGGTGTCTCGGACCCGGCCTATGCTGGTCGCGCAGCGTCCGATGGCCTGGATCGTGGCCGCCACGAAGTCCTTGTCCATGCTGCGGATGTAGGTCTGTGGGGCACAGCACAGTGACCCCCCGCGCGGGCCGTGACCCCGCTGCGGTGACTCGGCGGGCTCTCGGGTGACCTTCTGGGAAGCGGTCCCCCTCACTCAATGACTCATCACGCCAGAGACGACAGTCTGGGAGGGGAGTGACACCCTCGCCCGCCGCCCAGGGATCCCAGCAAGAGGCACTGGGAGAGGACCTGAGGCATCTGCGTCCCCACATTGGACCCTTCAGCGAAGGTCCGCCTGCAGGACGCCACTTCCTGTGCACAAGGCAGCTCCCCTGCGCCCCCTCCAGATGGGAGCCGCCCCTGGCCCGTACCTGGAATTCCCGCAGGACCGTGGGGATGTTGGTCTCATTGGCCAGGTTGGTCAACACCTCCAGCTGCAGGGGGGCAGAGAGTGGGCTTTGCGGGCTCGCTCACCCGCCGTTGCAAACCCACGCCGCACCCCCGCAAACAATCCTCAGGGCAGCCCTGCAGCGCCCTCCCCCCGACGGGCGCGGAAACTGACAGGTCTCAAAACTCATTCAAAATGCAGAGGGACCATCTCCTCTCCTCTGTGGTGGGATCGCCGACAGCCCCGGAAACAGGCAGGCCCCCCAGTGGCCACTCTGGGTATCTGAGTGGGTCTGAGTGGGGTGGGGGGCGGGGGTATGGGGCAGAGAGACCCCGCCACTCTGTCCGCGTCTCACCTTCAGGACCTTGATCTGGGTGGGGTCCGTGGACCTGATGTAGAAGCTCTTCAGGTAGGGCTCGAACATGCCCTGGCGGAGAGAGGCAGCCCAGGGAGTCCCACCAGGCCTCTCTCCCAGAGCGCCCCCTGCCCCCGGACCTGCGCCCAGCACCCCCGCGCCACCGCACTGCGCTCCAGTCTCAAATCTCTCCCCTCCTCCCTCCTAGATATGACCGGGTCTTTCTCCACCGGACTTTCCTCCGAGTGGCCCTCAGGACCCTGCACTTGGGGTCTCCCCTCCGCCACTCCACACCAACAAGGCACTCCCCCTCACCCCCACCGGTCCTTCCTCGGTGTCCCTAGCACCACAGAAGCCACCCCTGGGACCGGGAGCGCAGGCCTTGTGCGCTTGCTCACCCGGCGCTTGATGGACATGGTGGCCACGTTCTGGAGCACCACGTACTGCACCTCACTGCAGAGAGGACGGTCGGAGGTTGTACGGCCCCTCGGCAGGGGCAAGGGGCAGCAGGTGGGCGTAAGAAAAGCGGACCAAGTACACGCAGGAGAGGACGGGATGGCGGGCAGGTCACCAGCAGGAGGAAGGCAGAGCTGGGGTCAGCGCGGTGGGCTGGGCTAGTGGGCTAGGATGGGGAGGCGGGGCCTGATGCGCCCAGGGTGCAGGAGAAGCGGGGCGGGGCCAGGGCCGGATGTGGGCGGGGCCAAGACTGGGTGTGGGAGGGGCAGGCACGCACCTGTGGCTGCGCAGCAGGCGCACCAGCGCCTTGGCGATGACGCCCACCTCGGCCTTGGGCGCCAGGTGGAAATACAGCTGCGCCACCGCCATGACCACCGCGGCGCTGCGGCTCTGCAGCAGCGGCTTCGTGTTGCGCAGCAGCAGCCGGTGGTCGGGGTCCATGACGTAGGGCTTCCTGGCCGGCAGCGCCGAGGCGGCCGCCTCCTCCGACCCCGGGCCCTTCGCCTCGTCCTCCTCCGAGCCGTAGAAGGCTTTCTCGGGGTTCTCCTCCAGCAGGGACTCCTGTTGGGGAGACGGGCGGGGCAGCGGGTGCCTCCTCTCGGCGTGACCCTCGGGCCGGCTCTGCGGGCGAGGGCGGGGCGGGGCGGGGCGGGCGCACTCACATTCTGGGTGGGGCTCAGGAACTGGGTGCGGGCGTAGCGGGTGAGCATGCTGATGATGACCACCTGGCCCCACTCCTCCACGTCGATGAGCAGGTTGCAGAGTTTCCGGTAGTTCTTGTGGATCAGGTCGATGCGCTCCGGGCACACCTCCTCGAAGGCCATCACCACGCTGCCCGCCACCAGCTGGGCGCCGGACAGAGGCGAGAGAGGGTCAACGGAAGGGCCTCCCCACTGCCCACCCTGTGCGCCCCTGTACCTACCGTGGTCTTGTCAGCCAGAAGCTTCTCAATGACCTCTATGAGCTGGTCCTTCTGGTCAGGATCCAAACTGGGGGAGAAAGCGTTGAGAGGAACCCGCCACTCCGCGTCTCCAGCCTCCCCAGTGTCCACCCGAGATGCGCCCACCTCCCTGCCCGCAGCCCCATCCATAAAGAGGCGCAGGCCGCCACCTCCAGGGCCCTCCATCTCTGTCCGTTCCCAACACTGGCCTAAAGCTCCCGAAGAGCGGAAAAACCAGGGCAGCCCGCAGGGCCTACGAGGAGCCAGGGCCGGGCGGGGCCGGGCGTGGGCACCGCCCCCCACCCAGGAGGGAAGGGCGGGGCTGGGGCACCTGTAGAGTTTGGGGATGGCGTGCGCGGCCGTTTTCCGCACGTAGGGTGACATGTCCGAGGCGGCTTCCTTGATGGCCAGCATCATGATGGGCACGATGATGGGCACGCGGATGCTGGAGAGGACGCGGAGGGCGCTGGCGCGAATCAGCTGGTTGGGGTCCTGAGGGCGGAGGTGGCGGCGGCGGGGGGGCCGTGAGAGGCCGCCACGCCTGTGGGACGCGATGTCCCGGGGCCACCGCCAGCTCTTGCTCCCCTGCCTCCTGTCCTGCCCCTGGGTGCACTGCCACCCACCGTTCAGGACCTGATGGGGGCGGGCACTGCTTGAGGTCACCGACTCTTGACCCCGGCTGCAGAAACCTGACACCTGAGCGGGCAGGTGGGGTGATGGGCTGCTTCACTTTCAGAACAACTGACCTTCCTGAAAACCCCGTTTCCTGCGTCCCTCTGTGTTTCTCTCCGAGGTGTCTGCCAGCGAAGGCAAGCGGGTCTCCCTTCCCGGGAGTCCCTCCTTCCGTTCCCCTCCCCCAAGCCCTCTCCCTAGCTGCTCTTCTTTTCTCCCACAGCGTTGCAGGAGGATGGTGCGCAGGCCCCTCCTCTTTGCACCTGTAGCTTCCTGTACACCTGAGAAGGACCCGAGTGCCTCGCGGCCAGGGGATTGCGGCCGAGGCAGCGGCAGATCTCAGAGGATGGTGGGCAGTGGCAGGGCCGCTGGACGCTCAAGACAGACGCGACCCTGACTTTCTAAAAAAGAGCAAGATCCACAGAATGGCGGATGGCGGTGCTGGCGGCCCCCGTCACCATTCCGGAATCGGTTTTCAAGCAGACGGCTCAAAAGCAATGATTGAAAAAGCGGGAGTCTGTCTTTTCTTACAGTCAAAGCATATCCCATTGTCCACGAAAACCTACGTAGTTTCCTCTTTTGAAAAGGAGAACATTTTGCCCTGGCTGGTGTGGCTCAGTGGATTGAGCACTGGCCTGTGAACCAAAGGGTCACTGGTTCGATTCCCAGTCAGGGCACACACCTGGGTTGTAGGCCAGATCCCCAGTAGGGGGCGTGTGAGAGGCAACTGCACATTGATGTTTCCCTCCCATTCTTCCCTTTCCCTCTGTCTAAAAAATAAATAAATAAAAAATCTTAAAAAAACAAACAAACATTTTATCTGAAAATTATTATGGATTCGCAGGAAGTTACCCCCCCCACCCGAGTCTGTTTTCCTTTCCGACAGGGTGGCTAGGCTGGTAGGCATGAACACTATGTCCCTTGATCTCTGCAAGGCTTTGTGGGAACCATTTGTGGTGCAGGTCTTTTGTTTCAAGAGCAGGATTCACGTTTATTTCATTGCTGTGTCACCACTGCCCTTTGCACAGGGAAGGTGTTAAGAAATGTTTTTGCTCTAGAATAAGATCCTTTCTAACGAGACAGGGAAATGCCGGCTGCCCGGGCGGTTAGGTAGACACATAACTGTTTAAGCCTGGGGAGGGTTCGTGAACCGGATCAGTGTCGGCCTGGGAACATAATACCCACAGGGCCGTCTGCTGCTCTGGGGCAAGCGGCTTATCAACCTCTTGGAGGCAGACACGCAATCAGGAGGCCAAAAATTAAGATTTAGAAGCGCTCTGTACTCAACCACTGAAAGGAAATGCAGGAGGTTCCCAGAGGGTTCCAGGGACCAGCTGCAAGGAGACAGGGCGCAGGGAGCCTGCTCATCCACTGCAGGTCTGTCTGGGTGGAGCCCCAGCCGCAGTGGCGGGCTGCGGAGAAAGCACACACAGCCCCGGGCCCGGGCCGGGCCTGATAAAGAGAAGGGGAACCCTGGACGGAAATGACTGGTATCCATGTGCAGGCGGGAGAAAGAAACAGGAACACCAACCAAAGGAACATGAGTTCCAGAGGAACACGTGTATCACAGGCTGCCGCTTACAAGCCAGCATCGCACATTGTTAGGGGCGGGTAAACACACAGGAGAGGAATAAATACTCGCACAGCGGCGACACACAGGGGAAGACACGGGGTTGGGGGCGGGCTTTGGCTGCTGGAGGAACATCGTGTTTCCCGTGTTGGGCATATAGATCTTCATTATAGCTGTCTTTTCGTCTTTTGTGGGTCTGAACATTTTGCAAACATTATCACTATGGGGGCTGCAATGCAATACACTAATTTAAAAAAACTATAGTTGTCTTAAAACGGAGCGAATGGCCCGGGAAGGAGAGAGGTCTCCGTCACCGTGAGCGGCGCTCTGCACCGAAGGCCGACGTGGGTGGGAGCCCTTGAGCCACACCTGTCCTCTCCTTTTTTGTAAGTAAACATCTCCCGGAAGCGGGCCACGCCCCCTCGCTGAGGGCTGCCGTCGCACCGCATGGGGGGTGGGGGGGGTGGGGGGGGGGGGGGGGTGGGGGGGGTGGGCGGGGGGAGTGGAGCAGCTGCACGGCGGACTCCCTGCGACCGGCAAAGCCTGGGCAGCTCTCTGGCAGGATCCGCCGGAGCGCCGCCAGCCCCGGGTCTGGAGAAACCACCGGGCTGAGCGGGACTGAACCAGCTCCGGTGTCTAAAAGCCTGGGACGGGCCAGGCTGGAGACACGGCGGGTAAATACAAAACCTCTGTGTGCAAAAATTCCAGCGTGGTTCTTACAAGAGGACTTGCCAATCTGAGATAGGTCCTTTGGTTTCGACTTAAAAAAAAAATAGCCCAGCGCACGCAAGGTGCATAGGCCTGTGCCCGTGCCGCCTGCCCCCCCAGAGAGCCAGGCTGTGTCTCAGGACTGGACTCCTCCCAAGGCCCTCCCCTCGGTGCATCCAGACCCCCCAGCTGCCTCACAGAGTGGCCCCCCAGGACGGGGGACTGGTCCGCGCATCTGAGACAAGGCTGAGCAGAGCGAGAATCTGTTCCAGCTCCAGGGGAACCGCCCACTGTGCTGAACTTACAGGAAATGGCAGGCCCTGTGCTCACCTTGGAACCCAACCTTTAGGGGGTCTTGTTTGTTTTCAGTAAACCTTTGTCCTCTTTACCCAGTCCCAGGCAAAAAGTTTCAAAGTCAGCGCTCCCTACAGACGCCCGACTAGGTAAGCCCACCAGGGCCGCGGCTCTGATTGCTGGGCTGAGGGACCAGGCCAGCAGCGCCTGTCACGGAACTGTCTTATGGAGCTTGACCTGTGTCCGCCAGGCTGTGGGCCTCGGCTCCCTGACCCCAGTGGGGGTAAGGGCCGGTGGGGTCCTATCTGGGGTGGCCATTAACCGGCTTCTTGCTCAGAGGAGGAGAGACACAGTTTCCAGATGCCCACCTCATCCCTCCTCGCACTCACGGGTGGGGAGGGGTCTCAGAGCCCAGGCCTGTCCCTGGGCCCGTGCCTCCCACACAGCACCCACGAGGCCCTGGCCCCAGGGGGCATGCAGGACCACTGACCTTCAGGCCGCGCTGGAAGGTGGAGATGGACAGCAGGGCCAAGTCCTGCTGCTCCTCGGCGTAGCGCACCAGGTACACGTAGACCAGCTTCTTCACCTGGGGGGGGGAGCAGGCTGCCAGCAGGGACCGGCACCCCCACCCCCGTGGCTGTGGCCCCCAGGGACAAGTCCCCCCCATAAGCAAGAGCATCCCCAGTGGACCCGCCGTCTCTCTGCTCCGTGTCTGGTCTGGAGACATGTGGACGGGACCAGGGCGGGCCCCCAGGGGCTGGGCAGTTTGCTCTCACCTCCGCTGACCAGCTTGGGTTTCCTCCTGGGGGAGGCGGGATGCCACCCTCGCCGGGCAGTGCTCACCTCTATGTTCTTACAGGCCACGTTCTTCACCACGGCGGGGAACAGGTCCGAGGCGTTCTTTCCCCGGGCGATCATCTGGGGGTGGGGTCAAGGTTGGGGGAGGAGGGGAAGGGAGAGGGCCAGCACTTAACAGGGGCTGGTCCACTGGGGACCAGGACAGTTTGACCCCGGGCCCCTCCCCGGGGAAGGTGCGTCCCCTCCTGCCCCCGCTCACCGCCACGATCCTCTTCATGGCCTCCAGCTTGAGGGAATCTTTGTTGGTGTCCAGCATCTCCTTCAGGTCGTCGTGCCTGGCGGGAGGCACTAGAGGTCAGCTGAGGGCACGGGGTGGGGGCGGGGCTGTCACGCAGGACCCCCCAGAGGGGCAGGGAGTCAAGTCCCGATCAGGGGACTTGGGGCGCTCCCTCTGTGTGCGTCTGGGTCCTAATCACCTCTTCTTCCAAGGACCCTCCTCATACAGGATTAGGGCCCACCCTAATGCCCGCACTGTAACTTCATCACCTTCTGAAAGGCCCCGCCTGCTAATACAGCCACATTTTGAGTTACCAGGGGCTGGGGCTTCAACACATGAATTTGAGGAGGACATAAACACACAACAGCCGCCAAAAGAGAAATATCTGAGGTATGGTGAGTAAAAGTGTGAGGTAAGTGTACAAGGCCCATATTCAGCATTCCCCATCCAGGCTGCTGTGGGCCCCCACCCCACCTGCTCGCCCCGGGCGGGTAGCCCTGAGCCGGGGGCTCCCTGTTCGGTGGTGGTGGGACCATGGGCTGGCATTCCTGGGCCACGGGCCCTTGTGCAGCGACTGAGCTGCCCACCCATACTCAGAGGTCCTGGGGTCGGCGGCCAAAGAGGTGAATCCGCCCCAGGGAGACTGTGTCCACACACAGCTGGCCGAGCTGTGGGACAACTGGCCCACTCCACTGTGGCCAAGACAGTTCCAAAATGTGGGGAGCTGGGCAGGGGGCGGGGCTGTACACTCGAGAATCTCCCACGCGGCACCCCGATAACCCGCAGCTTTTGCCCAGGCGCGAGAGCCCAGCCCGGACAACCACCGGCAACGGCAGACAGTCCGAAGCAAGCGAGTTGTGCAAAGTCAGCCACGGGAGTGAACCGTTCAGAAATAGCAGGCAGTCGGGGATTGAGTCACAAAGGGGCCGACGTGACTGCGGCTGAGCGAGTGACGAATGTCAGGCAGAGGAGGACGACCCCCACACCCCGGGTCACAGGGCCGCGCTCTGTGCACAGCAGGTAAAAGCAGGAGCGGCAGACGATCATTCACGTTCCCATGAGTTCCGAGACCGCCTCCTGATGGACAGCAGAGGAGAAAGACGCGCCTCCCAGACACAGAGGCCTCCCTAGCGGTCCGATGAAGGCAGAGGACACCCAGCCGCAGCCCCATTGGCCTAAAGCTCCACGCCGGGAGAGGGACCCCTCCCCCCACGAACCCAGAAGATGCCTCTCCTCTCCCCTGGCCACGCCAGGTGCAGAAGACAACCAACCGCCTTGTCACCCTCCCAAACAGTTACCGGGGGCTGAGCTCAGGACAACGGGGTAAGGACAGGGGCACAGGCCATCAGCTGGGCCCTGGCTGCACTGAGCTGGGTGCCACCTTCTCCGATACACACACGCACCCCAGGGCCTCCACAGATGCCCCACGGTCAGCTCGCACCCCACAGACTCCTGCACACCCCAGCACCCCCACCAAGTGCCGAACCCCCCCCGTACCGCGGACACAGCTGTGTGTGTGTGCCTCCCGGACACGCCTGCGCCCTCGGACACACACGCGGTCCGTACGTGAGCCCCCACACACCCATGACCCCCGCGGAAACACGGGGTCACAGGCACAAACACACCACACGGCCACTCTCCACAGAAACATGCTCTCCACACACAAAACCTCCACACCCTTTTTCCGGACACCTGAGAACCCACGCACGCAGCCCACATGGGCACACACACACCACACACGCATACACGGTTTTGACCAAGTTCAGTCCCTCCAGGCTCATTCGCCACAGGGGCCACTGGCCTCCTATTTGAGGTTCTTGGTGACACATTTAGGCTTCTAAAATTGAAGACCTCCAGCCTCCGGGGTCCTGTGCCCTCCTCTGAGGGGTCAGGTTGGGCGGGGTCCCGGCCTGCCACCCCAGGGTGCCTTCCCCGGGAGCAGGGAAGTCGGTGGTCTGTTTTAACTCTTGGTGCTCTCTCCAAAGCAAAGCTCCTCACACCAGGTGTCCTGGCCACACCCAGATGCCACAGGCCCTTGTCCAATGTGCACACCCCGGGTGCTGGGCAGGCATCCACAGCCCTCCCGCCCGCCCAGCCTGGGGCACCCATGCCCGGCCCCTGAAGGCTCTGGGCCTAGGGCCGAGGACGGGGGCGGGGGGGGAGCCACTGGGTGTTCGGCATAGGCAGGACCGAGACCACCCAGGGCCCTCATCCGCTCCCAGGAGCCTGCTCCCCAGAGGGAGAGGAGGCAGGAGTGGCCTGGCAACGCCCCGGGGTCAGGAAACCTGACTCCAGCAGTCGGATCCCCTTACACGCACCCACTGACCTGACCCCGAGCCTGGCCTGCGGGGCGCCTGGGGGGCTGGCTGGGGCCAGCCGGGGGGTAACGCATGGCTTTTGAGGGTCCCGCTCCCCCCCCCCTCCCTGCACACGTTCAGATTCACACGCCCGGAGAGGCTGGCCGAACCCTGCCTGAGTTTTGTCCCGTCCCCAAACCTGCCCCAGAGCCCACTCCAGCCAGAGCCTGGGGCAGGGGAGAGATCGGGGTGGGACCAAAGCCCTGTACACTTCTCGGTGCTCCTCCCCTCAGAGTTCTGGGAGTCGTCACCTGCCACGCCCACTCCTACTCAGTCCCCGTCCTGTGCCCCCCCCACCCTGAGCCGGCCCACCAGGCCCCTAAATGCCAGCCCCGTCCTCTGAGGGGCAGGTGGGACTGGAGGGGTCTGGCCTGAGTGGCAGCCGCCCATCCATCTGGGTGGGGGCCCCCTGGGGTGCCTTCCTACCGCAGTGGCTGGCTGGGACTCTGGCCTTGGCCGGGCTCTGGGCAGGGTTCCTCCAGGGACGCCTCGGGGGCCGCGCCTTCCTCGGGGGCCTGCAGCCAGCGCAGCTCCTCAGGCTGCAGGGCCTGGTACCAGGGTGGGGGCCCGCCTTCGGGGGCCAGCACGGGGCTGGCGGCCTCTGGGTCCACCCCGCAGGCGCCTCGCACCCCTTGTTTCGCCACCACCCCCGGGAGCTGCAGGAAGCGCTGCATCGGGCACCGGGTCCCACTCGGGGATGGGACCCAGCGGACCGGCACCCCGGGGAGGCCTGGCACTGTCACCGGAGGGCCCACCCCCGAAACTCAGAAACCGGACCCTGGCGGCGAGGGAGGCTCCGGTTTCCTCTTCAGCGCCCAGAGACGAGGGCCCAGGAGGGAGGAGACCGGGCACTGAGCCAACCCTCAATCTCTGAGCCGGAGACCAGGGGGTCCGGGGAGCTGAGCCGGGCAGAGGGGAGGGGTGCCCTCCACGCCTCCACCCTGCCAGGCTGCCCTTCAGAGACGCTGCACATTCCTCACTCTGACCCCACCCTGCTGCCGCCTCCTCCTCGCCGGCCTTCCTCCCTGCCCAGCCTTGGCCCCCAGGCCGACCCTCCACCTGCGCTGGCTCGCTCCCTCCCACATCCTGGGCCCTCTGGGCCTCACTGCCGCCACCCTGCCGGCAGGGTTGGCTTTATTCAGTGTATTTCAGATCCCCTCCACCCCCTCAAGCTCCTGCCCTCAGTCTTGCCCTGGATGAAACCCCTCACAGCTCCCAAACATCCGTGCTCTCCTGGCCTCCTGCCCCCGGGCAGGGCTGGTGCTCCCCAGAGGCCGGGCTGGTGCTCCCACCCAGCTCTGCGAGCCCCCTCCCCATCGCTCAGGGAACTGTGCCTCCTTCCGTCCCCTCCAGCCTCCCCTCCCGACGGACTGCCCCTTCCCACCCGCAGCTCGACTTGCTCCAGGCGCTCCCATCCTCATAAACAGACAAAAGTAACAAGAACAACGAGACAGATAAAGCTCCTTGGACCTGTGCTCTCCGCCAGCAACCCTTTCCTGCTCTTCCCTTCACAGTCCGGCTCCCTGCAGGCGAAATTCCCGTTCACCGTGGCTTCCTCACTCAGCCCCTCCTCACGCGTCTGTTCGCCTTCGGCTGGTTCTAGGTGCCAACTAGAGTCTAAGGCCGAGGGGCCGTGGTGTCTGCGCCTTACATGCTCCAGGCCCAAACACGCGTGACCAGACGGTCTGATAACCCAGCTGTGGCGCAACATCCACAATGGCTGAATCTACTGAGAAGTGTACGTGTGACTGCTGCTCATTCAGCTTTTCTGTAAGTGTAAAATGTCCATGATGGGACACGGTGGCGGGGGGTGGGGGGGGAGTAACCCAGCTCTTCCCCTGACCTTGCTGGTCTCCCAGGACAGGAGGTGGGGCGTGGGGCCGGGAAGGGTTGATCTGCGCTTTGTCAAACCGACAATTTCTCTCCTGGTTTGAGTTGACCTCCGCGGGCACTGACATTGCTGATCACTTCCTTCTGGAACCCAGGAAGCCACGTTGCATTTTCCTCCTGCTTTCTGGTTTGCTTCCTGGGACCTGGAGACACGTTGCCCCTGCTCTCTGACCGCCCCCGAGAGCGGTGTCTTCAGGGTTCCCTGCCTGAACTCACGCACCCTCCTCCCGGGGCCAGACTTCGCCGCCTTCTGTGGCGCTCTCTCTCTCTCTCTCTCTCACACACACACACACACCCCCCTCCTGCAACCCAAACCCTAACGTCCAGCTACCAGCTAACCTGAATGTCCTGCGTCTACAGTCTCAGCAGGGCCAGAGCTGGGCTCCACGCCGATTTCCACAAACTTGCTTCTCACGGCTTTGCTTCCAGTCCCACAGAGCAGCTCCGCCTCCTGTGCAGCTGCAGTGACTGGTACCTGCACACCGTTCTTCTCTCTGGCCAGCCCCTCCCCCCCCCTTCCCCAGTGAACTGCGGTGCCTGCAGCCTCTGCCCTCTTCGAGAGCTCTCCAGCCCTCGGCCTGCAGCCCCTGTTCTACTCCATCGCTGTGTCCTCCCCCCAACTTCAACCTCCCCACCGGTCTCTCGCTCAGTCCAACACGCCTTCCCATCTCTGCCCTCCAGTCCGGGCTGGACCCCTCCAAAACGCAAAGCTGGCCTCGGTGGCCCCCCCCACAACCTTGGCATTGCCCCGCCCTCGTCCCCGGTCACTGCAGCGCTTTGCACTGTGGTTCTGGCCACGCTGCACCTGCACCTACGAAGCCTGTGACCTGGCTCTCCTTGTCCCCCTGGAACAGCCCTCGCCGCCCCTCTCCAGGGCCGGGAGCCGGCTCCTCTCACCCTCCCCGCTGCCCCCGCTGTCCCCACCGCCCCGAACTGTCACCAACACATCCTTCCTCTGCGCTCCTCTCTGGAGCAGCTTGAGGGCAAGCCTTGTCTCCGGTCCACGGCTCTGTTCACACTGCCTAGGACGAGACTGCACACAGTAGGCCCTGAAATATGCTAGTTTCGCAATTTGCAAATAAATGAGAACGGAGGAATAGGGCTGAGGCAGGAGGGGTTGAACTCCAGCAGCAACGCACCAGAGGGGAGCCAGGAACCAGAGCTGGGGGGCCAGAGGGAGGGAAAACGGACTCGTGGGAGGAGCCAGGCCTGGAGGCTCGGAGCCTACACCCGCGGGCGGGCGATCTCCTCGCCAACGCTGACCCCTCCCCTTGCTCCTTAGGAATCAGTTCGCCAGGTGGGGACGAGACGGGGAACCAGCCCTCCAAACGACACACAGAGGAAAACCCCTAGGGCGGGAGGGTCCATCCTCCTGGAACGGAGGGGGCTGGCCCATCCCCCACAACCTCCACCCCCTTCCAGGGCCCCAGGCCCGCCCCTGGGTGGGGAGCTGGTAGGGGGACCGGGCCAAGGCAGATAGGGGCTGCGGGTTGGTGGCTGGGGCGGGGCCTGGCAGGCGGGCCGGGCGCTGTCCATGGTGCCAGCGCGCGCCTGCGAGGCCCGGCGCGGGCGCAGGCGCAGGACTCGGAGTCCCCAGCCCCCGGCCCACCCTTCGGTAGGCTGCCTCACCGCTTGTAGTCGGAGGAGAAGATGCCGCCGCTGGCCGGGTCGTGGCCATACTCGGGCTCCCCGGGGCCCGCGGAGCCACCCTTGTCCTCACTGTAGGCGGGGGCGGCCGACATGGGGAGGCGGAGGAGGGGAGCGTGGTGGGCAGGCGGGGTCGGCGGCGCTGCGCGCTGCAGAGGCCGCGGTGTGCCGGGGCGCAGGCGGCGAGCCGAGGTATCAATCCGGGCCGCGCGGAGAGCCGAGGTTCTTAAAGGCACCGGGGCCCAGTCGCGGGGGGCGTGTCCACAGAAGCTCGGCCCCGCCCTAACCGCGTGCAAATCCCTCCCTCGCGTCGGGACAGTGCCTGCCCCGAGGGGATGCACCTCCAGGTCTGCGGGTGCGTGCGGGCTGCTGAATAGATGGGATAGATGCAGGGGGATGCAGGACGCCTCGCCCGCCCGCTCGCCCACCCCCACCGGGCCTTGGGGACGGCCTCCAGGGCCTGCGCTGATCCCAGACGCAGTGGAAGGAAAGAGGGGGGACTGGAGACAAGACTGCGCCCGAAGGCTGAGGGTCCTGGACCTACCCCAGGCACCAAGGACGCTTCCTCTCCCTGCTCTACAGAATCTGGTTCCTCGGACTCGTCCTGGCTTCTCACCAGGAAGCCAGGGGACCTGGCGGAAGTCAGAAAATTTAAGGAAGGCCTGGGCAAGAGCCCACAGCAGGCCGCGAGCAGAGAGTGGACGGAATCCAGGGGCGGTGAACCCTGATGTCACCTTTGGAAAATAGTTTAATGACCGGTTCTGAAGCCCCCAGGCGCACCGTGGAGGGCCTGAGGCCAGCCTGGTCCAGGGTCAGCTGTGCGGCCACTGGCACCTAGGAGGGAAGGGGAGAGGCTGGGGCGGGGTTGGGCGTGGCCATCTGGAGCCCGCAGCTGGGATCCCAAGGTCCAGGGAACCCCAAGGGAGGACACGGCCTGGGTCTGGGAGGGAAGGGGTGAGCAGGCTGGGGAAGGGGTGGCATCGGGTTGGATGGCAGGGGGTCTCTCATGGGGTCAGGAGAGTCGAGTGTGGAAAGTGGAGGAGCGTGCGAGGCTGAGTCCTGGCCTAGGGCCTGGAACCCCCGGGTCTCCAGGGCCAGCACTGGGGCGGACCAGGACTGCAGCAGTGCCTGCAGCAAGAGTGGGCAGGCCGAAGGAGAGATGTGAGCAGGCGCTGTGTCCTGGGGTGGGCAGAGCGGTTTCCGAGGAGGGCAACAAAGGTGAGTGGGCAGCCCTGGCTTGCTCCTGGGGGCTTTGGCTCTGCCAGAGGCAAGCTGGTCTCCAGTGTGACGCCAGTGGGCCGAGTGGGGGAGAGGGCGTGGGTTCTGCAGCACCGCACTGGTGAGCCGCAGCCGTTAACAGGCCCGGCGGTGGTGAGGGCCTGCGCGGGCACCTGAGCGGGGCTCACCAAGCTAGTGGGCCATGGGCCTATTTGCAGGGGATCCGGCTGGGCCCCAGGCCAAGCAGGTATAGCGCAAAGTGCACACAGTAGCTGCCTGTAGCGTTTTAGGGGTGCAGGTTCTCGCCATGGCGCACTGTAGAGAGTGCCTGCCACGTTTCTCCCCTCCTGACCCCCTCTCTCCCTCTGGCCCCAGGCCAGAGCATCCTCCACTTACTGCTCGGTGCATCTCATCATCCCAGACGGGGAGCAGTGGGCGATTCAGGTGACCGATTCATCCTGGTGCCTGGGACTTTCCAGGTTCCAAAAGAGAAAGCCCCACCCCCTGAGAGCCCAGGGAAACCTGGAGGGTAGGTCATCCTGGGCTCAGGTTGCTGGCTCCCACCTCCCGAGACCTGCCCACGGGGAGGGCCGGCTCACGTGCGGTCCTTTGGCCGTGCCCTTCTGCAGCCCACCAGGTCGGGAGGGACCTTGGCCCCTGCTTCCCTCTCTCCTGGTACCCACTGAGCCAAGCAGCCGTCAGAGCTGTGGAAGGGGGTGAGCTGTCCTGGCCCCCGTGGGGGGCAGCAGGCACCCTGCCTGGGGGGGAAGACAAGACAAGCTGAGGGCTCACAAGTCACCTGGGATGGGAGGCTCATTGAAGGAGGAAAACACCCAGCTGCCACCATCTGGCTGCTGAGGAGTGAGGGTCCAGGCCACCCCCCCCACCCCCTGCCTCTCCCCTCAGGCTGTGCCCTCCGCGGGTGGGACTGAGTGAGGTGCTTGCTGAGCACGGGACGCACCCACGAGCCTGTGCCGCAGGACTGGACGGGGGACCGGCAGACTTAGTCCCGGCTGTGCCGCTTTTCTGTGTTGGACATCAATACGCCCCTTGTCCCCTCTGGGCCTCAACTTCCCCATCTGTGAACTGGGGGCAACACAGGTGAAAGGCTGGGCACCGCGGGGCCACTGAGAGGCACTGAGAGCTCTCTGTCAGCGGGCCAAGGGGGAATGGGGAAGGTCTGTCTGTCTCCGGCTCACTCCTCAGTGTGCAGAGCTGGGCGTCGGGGGAGGAAGGGTGGAGAGAAGGCATCTCTCTCAGCTCAGGGGAGAACAATGGGCCCTCAGAGCCGGCTGCCGCCCCGTGACCCCTGCCCCAGAGCTCGCACGGAACCGCCTAGCGGGAAAGGCCGCGGCGCTCCCTCCCTCGGAAAGTCCCCCGGCGGGGTGGAGGTGACGAGGCCCTCTGGCCGCCATCGGCAGGGCCCCTGCACTGAGAGTCAGGGTCTGGGGGACAAGATGCCCATTCAGGTGGGGATCCAGGTCCCCGTGTGCTGCTCCATCCACGATGATGATGTTTGTTGCCAGGAACTGTGCTACAACTCCACCCAACCCTAACAATGATGTCCTGAAGATACTGTTGTCATCGTTCCCATTCTACAGACGGGGAGACTGAGGCCAGAGGAGGTTGCCAACGTTACAAACTAGTAAGTGGAGGAACCAGGATGCGAGCCCAGGCGGTCTGGCTTCAGGGCCGGTGACCTTAACCACCAAACAGCATGGCCTCTCCCTGCTGCCAGCAACGAGCACCCCCTGCCTTGGGCCCCACCGCCGGGAGGCACTGGCCCCCGCTGTCCTTCCTGACCTGGAGGGACCCTTCCCCTTGGCTTTCAATGAGCCAAGATGGGAAAGGGAGCAAGGCCCAAGGAGCAGTGAGCAGGAGCCTAGGGGAGAGACGGCCCAGTCTCTGGGCACCGGCCTGACAACGCTGGGCTCCTTGCCGCAGGCCTGAGCCCTGTCTCCTCTCATTCCGATGCTTTCAGAACACAGTGGTTAGGGTGGCCCTGAGCCTGGGTGTGAGGGTGGCGGGCCGTCCCTCTGGGGTCCAGGGCCCTGCCCTTCCCCCAGAGGCCCCTGCAGGATCTCAACCCAGTGGGGTCCTGTCGCTGAGCACACACGCCTTGCGGGCTAACCTGAACCTGGCTGCCCTCGGCTCCGCGCCTGAGGTCTGACCTGCATTTCCAGCCCCGCCCACCCCTTTTCAGTCTGGCCCTGGACAAAGGGTTCCTCTGTGAAAGGCAAGTTTTTGGGGTCAGTGCTTCCTGCCGGCCACCTTCAGCTAGAAAAAGGGCCGGGCTCCCTGCTGGGCGACGCAGGCCCTTCCCTGGAGCCCCCAGCCCACCCCATTGGCTCTCCTTCCCTTACAAAGCCTCGGACCACGCCCTCTCTCAGCACAGAGTGATCCCACCGGAATCGCCGCCTCAGGAGCTCACCGTCGCAGTCACCAAGCTCCACACCTTGCTACGAGCTCCCCCTCTGTGGCCACAGCAGGGAGGACAAGCGGCCCGCCCCTCAGTTAGGTGGAGCCCAGCCGGAAGCCCTGGGGCCCTGTTCTGAGCATCAGTGCCCAGGCCAGCTGGAGGGCAGCACTGCCTGCTCCTGGCAGCTTTGGGGGCAGCCGGCGGCCAGAGGCTGTGAGGCTGGGGTTTGGGGTAGGTAACTGGTACCTTCACCCACCCTCTCTTTGCTCCTCCTGGTGCTCAGCCCCTACCCCACACCTGCTGGCGCCGGCCCTCTGAATGGGTCCTCTCCCCTCACTGCCCTCCCCCTACCCAGGGTTACCCAGGTGCCCCATCGCCCTGTAATACTGCCTCACGTAGCACAGTGCCACAACTGAGTTCTTTATTCAGCCTTAAAAGAGCAAATAGTTCTACATTTACATTATTTCAGACTATAGGAAAAAATGAAATACTCCCTAATTTAAGGGATCTACTATAACTTTAAACATTAACATCTGATTAACATAGTACCAAAAACCCCCTACATACCAACCCCACTCATAATGAGATACACGCATTCTAAATATAGTATCAGGGAATGGCACCCAAGAGTGTATCAAAAGAATAATACTCTGATTGCATGGAGTTCTGTGGAGATGCTATCACTATTTCAATGGGCACCGTGTCAGAACTTTTTTATTATCCTATGATATAAGTGCTATCTTTAAAACACTGGATTTCCCCATCCTGGAACAGAAACGAACATTTACTTGTTTTTATGCCTTTCTACAATATTTCATATCTCCCATAAAAGCACTGTATGTCTTTTGTTCAGTATCCTTTTTTCTGCCTTTTATCAAGTTGCTGTTTAACTATTCCCATTTTGCTGTTTCCTTTTAAATGAAAATAGATACTGAACTTTTTTCAGAAAACATTTTGTCAGTTGAGATGATCATATGGTTTAAACTCTCTGAACTACTAATACAATGGTTTATAGCAACAGATTTTCTAATGTTAAATCATTACTGGGATCAATGCTTTTTTGTTCTAGATGGAATGCAGGGCTGAATTTAATTACTTTATCTTAGAGCTTTGTGAGTTTTGTGTCTAGCTTTTTTCTTGGGCTGTTTTTGTTAGATTTTGGTATGAAGGGGAAGTTAATATTATAAAATAAGTTGGGCAAGCCCTGGCTGGTGTGGCTCAGTGGACTGAGCATCGGCCTGTGAACCAAAGGGTCACTGGTTCGATTCCTGGTCAGGGCACATGCCTGGGTTGTGGGCCAGGTTCCCAGGAGGGGCCATGTGAGAGGCAACAACATATTGGTATTTCTCTCCCTCTCTTTTCCTCTCTCTAAAAATAAATTTAAAAACATAAGTTGAACAACTACTCTCTCCTACACCCCATGTGACATATAGTACAACTTCCAGGTTGAAAACACTGACAAGTCAAAATTATGTGGCTTGACTGGCAGCATTCCAGGCAAAAAGGACCGCATGAGCAGAGGCACCACAGGCTTTAACATTTCTTATAAACTGGTATAAGTAACAGTAGTTAGGTTTGGCTTAAGCTGCTAAAAAATTTTCAAAGCACAACTCCACAGCCAAACACTGATTTACTCCTCCTTTTATATAGAGAATAGACTCCAAGCTTTTCAGCCTGCATTCAAGGTCTTTCCTGCTGTAACGTATTTTACATTTCAGCCTGTGCTTCCTTGTCTCTGATGTTTGCCTGGAATGCCGTGACGGCATGTCCAGATCCTACCCACCTGTCAAGGGAATAGTCCAAATACCCACAAAAACTTTTCAGATCCAATTGAACTACATTTGAATTCACTTGTATCACAGCTATTTGTCAGCTGTTGTCTTGCCTACTTCTTAAGCTCCTGACAGTTGTGCTGGGTTGGACAGTGTCACCCCCATAATTCATGTCCTTCGCAGAACCTCAGAATGCGACTGCATCTAATAAGAGAGTCACTGCAGATATAATCAGCTAAGACCAGATCACATGACTGAAGTCAAGAGGGCCCTTGAGCCAAGAGGGCTGGAGACAGAGTGGGTTTTCGGATTTCTAGCCTCCGGACCTGTGAGAGGACATACATCTGTCGTTTAGGCCACCTGGCTTGCGGTACTTCGTGACGGCAGCCTTAGAAACTACATCAAGAACTATTGCAATTTCTAATGTGTCTTCCTGGCCCCACAGTGGAGTGGAGGGCTCTGCAGGCGCCCCGTCCGTTCCAGAATAACGTGGTTTGTGAGCGCCTGCTAGGGCGGGATGCACAGCCAACGCTCCTAAGTGGTGGCCCTTCTCACGGCAAGGTGTGGGGCTGCACAGACACGCCGAGGACGGGGAGAAGCTAAATGCAACAAGTGACAGGGGGGCAAAGCCAGAAACCAGAGCAGATGACGGGAGGTCGCCCAGAGACAAGGGAGCTTTTTGAGGCGGTGGAGACTCCAGGCCGCTCTGCCAGACCCCGCTGGAAGGGTCCCGGCGCTGTCCCCGCTCCTCACACCCATCAATAATGACCTCCACTGCGGCTGCCCCCGCATTCGACCCCCGTGACTCTACGGGCGCGACTCCACGAGGGCGCCACTCGCGTCATCACTTCCGAGCCGGCGCGCGGCGCCTCGGCGCGCCCCCTACGTCACGCCGTTGCGGAGGGCGGGACTTCCTCCCCACGTCCCGGAAACTGGAAAGGGTTCTCTTCCTTCGGAAAGAGATGGGGCTTGACGCGGAGATGAGACTTCCGAGGGCTGGCCGCGTTTGTCGCTTGGAGTAAGGCCGTTTCCTGGCCACTCGGCGGGGCGGGTGACAGCAGCGTCCTAGTAGAAAGGCACGCCGGTGGGCCGGGTTTCAGGGGATATGGCGGAGAGCCGGGTTTAGGGGAGGGTTCGGCGTGTCCGTCGGAGAGTCGGCGCCACCGGCGACCTAGGTCTCATCCTACGTCATTGTGCTCCGCTTTCTCAGTCTTGTTTGCAAAACGAGCACGGGGCAGCCAGCGGTGGAGTTCGATGTGAAAGGGCGAAATAAACGGGGCAAAGTTTAATTTTTAAAAGTCAGTAGGTGACCGCTTCTCGGCCTTTTGGGTAAGATCAAGTGTAGTATCAGTTCTTATCAGTTTAATATTTGATATTTAATGTCCTCTATCCGAGGACATTATATTAAGTGGGTTTTGGGGGCTGGGAGATGGAATAGCAACTTGCTCCGTCCACTCCGCGCATCGATCCGGTATAGCATTATTCCGGGAACGGTGCCCCCGCCCCCCCCCCAATAAAATTCAGTTGGTGAGCTTCACATCAGTAACATTCTATGAGAAAGAAAGGATGTAACGTGAGCGCCTGTACGAACCCAAGTATTCTGAGTTAGCCACTCCTGCTAGAGGAGCCATCAGCATCTGTTGCATTAACTTGGAAACACACTGTTGGTACACACGCATTAGGTGGTGGGTAAGGAAAAGGCGGTCCGCTGTAGGTGCTTAGGCATCTGTGGCTGGTTTGTGAACTGTAAATTGTGTCTAAGACAGTGTCAGGTAACACGCCTTTCTCCAGCGCTCTGTCCTTACTTTTGCACAGTGCTCGTGTTTTCCTTCTCTAGTCAGCCCCCGTCCTTCTCTCCCTTAACTGGATGGGCTATGAAAGGAAGCTTAAGGGTAGGGATGTTTCTTAGTGGTAGAATGGTAGCTAGGATGGGTTTACCAAGAAGTAATGTATATACTTAGAAATCCATCTCTAAAAACTAAGTTCCTGCCTTGTTGAAAAGCACACTGGAGAAACCTCAGGTTTGTTCAGTGGGTACTTGCCTGGAGAATGGATTATATTTTTGCATCTAATCTAGTCTTTACACTTTGGCATCTCCTTAGCATAGACTTTGGAGATCCATAGCATAGGCTATGTGGAGACCCACATAGGTTTTGGAATGAGCAAGGCTACAGCAAGGTTAGAATCCAAGCTCACACTACAAAGAGAAGATACTGACTGGCTGGAGTCTTCTTTCCAAATCCCAAACTCTATCTTGCATTTTGATTCATTAACCATTTGCTGCAGTGAAACAAGCATATGTAAGAGTTCAGATCTTTTAAAGCTTATGAATAATACCATCCCCTTAACTTTAATTTTAAAAAGATTTTATGTTTAGACAGAGGGGAAGGGCGGGAGAAAGAGAGAAATATCAATGTGTGGTTGCCTCTTGTGCACCCCCACCCGGGAGGGACCTGGCTTGCAACCCAGGCACGTGCCCTGACTGGGAATCAAACCGGCAACCCTTTGATTTTCAGGCCAGCACTCAATCCACTGAGCCACACCAGCCAGGGCTCCCCTTAACATTTTAAACATGCTAAGGCAGTGTTTCAAAAGCTGGAGTTGGTTGTGTTCTGGAGACTAAGAAAACAGAGTCCTTGAAGTCAAGCTGACTCGACTTTTAGCCTCCTAAATAAAAAGGTAGAGAGAACAGGTCTTGGGTGCAAAACAAACTCAAGACCTACGTATCTACCAACAGCAACTATGCACTTTCCACGGTCTTACTGTAGAGGAAAGCAGGGGTGAATTTATGGGTCAGGAAGGGTGGGGGAGAACACGGTGAACCCATGAGAATCGTGCTGTACTCACAGACAGGAAGGTGGCCAGAAATCGGAGACCTGGTTCAGGGAAAAGGAGGAGAGGCCCTTTCCTGCAGCGCGGGCCTCCGTGGGTTCCGGAAGTGATTCGGTAGCTAAACCTCGCTGGCTAGAGACCCACGTAGTCTCATTTATGGAAGGGGGTCCCTGCACATTGTGGTGAGCTGTGCTGGGACCACCTGCCAGTGTGCGAGCCATGTAAAGTTAGGAGGATGGTGGCGTATGAAGAAAAAGGCATCCTTGCCCATGCAGTTGCTCTGCTTATATGATGACCAAGCAGGTGCTTCAGAAATACCTTACTGGCTGTGTACGAGTGAGTGCATTGTTTCAGCCAGCAGGAAGTCATTAAATTTACACTTTTCCAAATAAAGGGCAATCTAGTTACACCAGAATCCCACGTCATTTTATATGCCAAATCTAACCAACTTTTCAATCCCACCTAACAAGGGTACCTTAAATTCTGAGTACTCTGAATTACTAAACCCATGTTGGTTTATACCAAGATTGTGTGTGGTTTTTTTCACATATTCTCTCCTCTTTGTTGAAGAATCCAAAGCTTATGTTCATAACTGCTTGTGAGTTACAAAGTGATGGAGGTAAAGCCAAGAAAAGAATGGGTTTTGATGTCTTTTAACTGCCCTGTGTCAGGGATTGCGGCTGCAATTGTCTGGCTTTTTAAAAATGGGTTGTTTTTTTTTTTTTAGCAGATTGCAGGTTGGAGGTGAACATGGCCTTGAGGTAACTCCTGTCCCTTCCTGAAGTTTAGTTTCAGCAATTTGTGGTAAGAAATCACAATACTCACAGAAAATGAAAGTTCGGTTTGCTTCTGTTCTTGACTGTGCCTTTGGTAGAATATGAGAAACAGTGTAAACAAACATTCTTTATGGTCGGTGACGGCGATGCCTGAAATTAGTCCTCAGCCTGGCTTAAGTTAAGCGGATTTTAAATGTCAAAGCCACTTCTAGACGTTTTCCTTGATAAAATAAAATTTTGTTGAATCCTCAGTGTCGAGTCTTATCCACATGCATGCCGTCTGCGAAGTGCCCCGTGAAGCCCGTGAGAACCCCGCGTGCACACCTGCCTCATCCGTGACGCCCTGCTCCCCACCCCGTGGTTTCTGCCGGGAACAGTTCCCAGTGTGCACGTGTGTTCATCGTCTTGTTTATAACGAGCGGCATCTCTGTGTTTATGCGGGCTGAACCTCCCCTGTTCAGGGCAGGGGTGTGTGTGTGTGTGTGTGTGTGTGTGTGTGCGCGTGCGCGTAATGAGCCCTAAGACTGTCAAGGTGAGCTGCTAATTCAGGAATCTGAGCTGCTGTTTACGATGGGCGGAGTTTTGCGACAGGAGAGGAGAGGTGTTCACTGTCAGACTTAGAGCGTGCTGGAAAGCGTGGCGGTCTAAAAGTGGAAGGTTTCTCGGTTAACACAAAACCTGAAGCAACGAGGGTCTGGGTCAGAGAGGCGTCCCTGGGGCACCATCCTAAACTGCCTCTGGGAACTGCCTCACAGATGGACTCAGTGTCCTCTGCACCTTGACACAGAAGCTTGAAACTGCTGTGTGTGCAGAGGGCTCCGTGGTGACAGGAAACCTGAACGGAAGCAGGAACGCAGCCGGCGGGGCGGGGCCGGGCACTGAGGTCCCAGACGGCCGGAGGGCAGTGAGGCGGCCGCCCCCCAGCCCGGGGCTGGGGCCACTTCTGCCTCCAGGCTCCGCCTTGCACTTCGGCGGGGGCATGTTCTCCTTTACGAAACCGTGTCTTCGCCGTGCCCACTCACAGCTGTCACGAAACCCCCCCGTCCTGTGGGACAAGAACACACTCTTCCTCTCGTTTCAAGGGAAAGGAAAGCTCTGGAAGGTAGTGACTTTTCTAGGGCAGGTTAACGACAAAGCAGCAATCAGACCGAGGTCTCCATTTCAATTCTGGCTCTTTTCCCGTTACGGGACATTCCTGGGGTCGGTTACAGCTCACGTTTCCTATTCCCGCCCGCCTCCCCACCAGATGTGCATGGGCAGGGGGCACCGCGTGTGTGGGAGACTGCGGGACAGGGAGGTGTGCGGTGCTGGTAGCGTCCCATCTTCCCCACGCTGCCCTCAGGCGCAGGGGCCCTCCCGCCCCCTCACACCGCCTCCCTGCCAGGTTGTCCCCTGCAGGGCTGCCCCTGCCGCGGAGAGCAGCGAGGCCCGAGAGCAGCGGCTGGGGGAACGAAACACTCGTTTATTCAACAGGTGCTTGGTGCGCCCCTCTGTGTTAGCCCTGGGGGACTGAATGAGGAACGGGACGCACTGTCCCTGCCCCCAGGGGATTAGACAGAGAGGTCGGTTCCAAACTGGAACGGGGTCAGTGCTCTGAGGGAGGAACAGGGTGTTGTAAAGGTGTACGGTGGGGGAGACTGCAGCACAGGCTGCTGACCACCGGGGAGGCAGGAGGAGAAGGCCACAGGGTGCCCGGTTCTCTGGACGACCTGCCCTCAGGTCTGTCCTCGGCTGGCAAATGAGACGCCAGGAGCACGCTGGGGCTGCTGCAGCCACTGACATGCATCTCCCCCCCCGCCCCGCCCCCAAGCCGTCGGCCTTGGAGACGGAGATACGTTGCACACACACAAACAGGCCAACGCAGTCGGACAAGCCGAAGAACCTCAGTGCGTTCAGTCTGAGCCCTCGTCTCACAGCCAGGCCTGGACGCGAGTCACAGCATCACGCGGGTGGCAGTGCACAGGACCACACCCAGGCCGGGCGGCGCGGGAGCCGCAGCCGCGCTGGGCGCACAGTGCTGGCGTGCGGAGGCGTGAGTGGCGGAGGGGGGCAGGTCGGAAGGCAGGCAGGGCACGGGGCACCCGCGCCCCGTCTAGTAGAGGGAGACGTGCTTGGGCATCGCAATGCCGTTGTGTATCTTTAGGCGCCCCGGCTTTTCCAAAGAGAAACAGGGGTGCACGAACTGCTGGAGCTGGCAGCCGAACGTGTACAGGTGCTGAGAAGTGTCCGCGTTGAAGAAGGACAGTGTGGAGTTTTCGTAGTCCAACAGAACTCCGATCTTCTTCGGGGAAACTGTTATTCTTATATCCGGAGTCCTCTTGTTGTGTAGAAATTCGTACTTATGCCTGAAAATCAAAGGTTGACGTAAGAAGTCTTTGGGAATTCTGTAGATGGGCCATTTACAGCACATTCTATGTGGCTGTATTGAGATACTTCTGTGTGTCATTTTACTAGTGACCACCAAAGTAACAGGCTACTTCTGTAACTGTGCTCTTCTCTGAAATTGCCCTAAGAAACGTGCATGTTTAAGCTTTGTTTCTGAGCAACCTCTTAAGCCAAGAAACTTACGTACTGTATTATCCAAATTTGGATAGATACAGCGCAGGTTTTAAACATTTGGATCCCGAGGTCGAAAATCCTCTGTAACAAGGGAGTTGAAACGGGGAGCGGGGAGTGCCCTCGCCTCTCCCGTGACGGCCCCTCGGTGCCGTCTGCGCGTAAGGGCTTGGAGGCCCCCGGCGCCCAGACCCTCAAGCAGCAGGGTTCCCGGGGGCCCGTCACCGGTCAGGGTCCTGTGGCTCCAGCACCCTCCCTGTGACTGTCCTGGGTGCGCTGAGAACCGGCTGAGACGCAGACCAGCCCCAGGGACTCCCCAGCCTGCCACCTGCGGGCGCTGGAAGAACTGCGGGCGCCGGCAGCTGCTCCGTGCATGCCTGGGACTGACGCTGGACGTGCAGCCCAGCCCTCCCATCTCCCTCAGCTTCGTTTCTTCCCTGAGCAGCCCCAGAACCACGAGGGCCCTTCCCTCCCCCTCCTCCCCCCACCAGTGAAGTCTGCGACTGCGGACCCACACACCCGAGTCAGCCAGGGCACCTCACCCCCGTCCTCCCCTAGTAACGGTCTGTCTCGTGCGTCTGTCCCAGCTGGGGCCGGACGAGCTTCTGCTCCAGCCCTGGTTTAACCACGTCTAACCGCCAGGGCGGCTCACGGGTGCAGCGCGGCGGAGGAAAGGTCAATAGGGTCCAGTGGGCCAGCGCGGGTCACAGGTCCCGTGGGACCAGGGTGCGGGGAAAGTGGCATGGCGAATTTTTTTTGGCCATTTGTGAGTTAAAGAGAGATTGCAACCATGGCCTTCCAAGTCTGAAAATGTCCCTTGTCCCTTGCTTTGTGGGACTGCCCCGTGTCGAGAGGGCCGCGCTGAGCAAGCCGACCCTGGGGCCAGGCCGCCTGCGGTGGAGTCCCAGCTCTGGATGCCCGTGCGGTGGGTCCTCGCACCGCTCTGCGGCTCAGCTTTCCTGCTTGTCACAGGGGACGGCGCGCCTGTGAGAGGTGAGCGAGCGAGCACGTGTACGGTGCTCGGCACGGACGCCCCCTAGGAGCCTGAGCTGTTTCCATCCGGAGGAAAAGCACCCAAAGCGGCCCTTGCCCTCTGGGCTGGGCCTCCGGGGGAGGGGCGGGGAACGCGTCCGAATGTCTCGGAACGTTTTCTAACGCACCCTGTCGGCGCCAGCGGCTGCTGGCGAGAACCTCTCCCGCCAGGAAGCTCTTCCGGAAGCGACCATGGGCCTCGCTGCACGTTACCTTGGCGGCGCCCACACGTGCCGCATGCACCAGGACCGGCAGTTGGCTCCCAGGTCCTCCTGTTTAGGGACGTCGTCAAAGGCCACGCCCACCGTGTAGTCCGACCGCTCGTCCACCTCCACCTCCCAGTAGTGGCGCCCGCGGACCGGAACTAGGTTCCCCATGGCGGCGACGCACCTGGTGGGGGAAAGGGGGGGGCACACGTGACTGGAGGTGACCCCCGCCTGGCTGTGCCGGCGAGGGACGCCCACTGCGTCAGTCAGCAGGTGGTCTGTGCGCGGGGTGGCAGGGGTGAGCGCCTCACCTGCGAAGGGGCGCATCCCGAGCCCTCGCCCTACTGGCGCAGGGGATGAGATGATTACACTGCTGGAGATGGAAGAGGAGACACACCCACAGATAAGGTTCTGCGGGCTTTCTGGTAACAAAAGCAAGGGTTTGGTTCATTTGTTCATTAAAAAAAAAAGGGACTGAAACCTCGCAGAACTCAAGTGTCAAGTGAACCCCAAAGTCTTTCATTTTGCACAGCGCCACGCAGCTCCTCTCTGTCGATGGGGTGCTGCCCAACTCACGAACTGATGACTAAAGCCAGTAAAATCTTCAAAATGTACTCCATGGAATACTATTTTTTAACACAGGCAAGACCTGTATTGCTTCTTATTCCCCTTGCCCTCTCCGGACCTCCGTGCCCCCAAGCCTGGGCAGAAAGGGCAGAGGTCGGAGAGGATGAGGGTGCTTTCTCCTGCACCGTGTGTGGTCCTATTTCACGCTGACACACACAGTAGGTGCTTAGCACGTGCACAGTAGAAAGGCCGGAGGAAGGGCCAGCTGCTGGCACAGTCTAGGATGGGGAATGGGGGGGGGGCAGCAGTTCTCCATCCGGGCCCTTCCCGCCCCCAGAGAGGAGCCTCTTCTCCTCCCTAGCAGACCCTCCCGGCTCCAACATCAGCCTGCCAAGACCAGTTTCTGCCGTGACTACCGGGAAGCTCAGAGCCATTCACGCTCAACCATGGAAACAAAATTCGCCCCAAAGTTAACCTGGGCCCTTCCTTTTCTTCCACGCTTTGCGTGTTCTGCTTCACCGGTGCATATTGCCCCCTGCTATAAATCTTTAAGTCTCCAGAAAGAAGTAAGGAGAAGTAAGGTATAAATCAATTGTTCCAACATCACTGAGTACCAGCTCTAGGCACGGCTCCGCCAGGGGTGTCCAACCTTCTGGCGTCCCCGGGCCGCACTGGAAGGGGAGTTGTCTTGGGCCGCACGTTAAACACACTGCGACACGTAATCACACACACACAAAAAACTCCTGCTTTAAGTACAGTTAGGATTTCGTGTTGGGCCGCATTCACAGCCCCATGCGGCCCGCCAGTGGAGGGTTGGACACCCCTGGTTCCAGCGGAGCCGCCTCTGGGGGGCGCCCTGCCGCCCGCCACGCGGAGCCCCATCCCCGTCCCCCCAGCAACCCCGCCCGCAGCACGGCTGCACCTGGTGGCCACCGCGGGTCCCCTCTGCCCGCACCTGCCTGTCCTCACCACCGGGCCCCCATCCCCTCATGTACGCCTGGGAGTTCTTTCCCCCTCCAGGGCGGCCGCCGTCGATCCGATTCCGCCTGAACAATGGCGTGTTTCAGGGAGGTCCACGGGATGTTCCGGTGAGCGGCGGGGACAGCACCTACCTGGTGAAGCGGGCGTCGCTGGGGGGCGGCTCCCTCGCAGGGGCTCTGCCGTCACCGCGCACCACGGTCAGCCCGTCCTCGGAAACCGTCAGCCAGGGGTGGCAGGTGTGCGCGTTCAGGCGGAAGCAGCTGCCTGCGGGGCGCGGGGCGCGAACCCAGGAGGCGGTCAGCAGCCCGTCCCCACTCCCCGCTCCGCATCGCCGCAGCAGCACAGGCGCGGGCCGCCCTGCAGGTCGCGGCTGAGCCTCCTGAACGGGACACCGCGGCCACACCTCCCTGCACCACACCACCCTCGTGCTAATGGGGCCAGGGGGCGCTGCACCGGGGCTGGGCCCTGCCCGAGCTCAGCACTTTGCACGTCTCGTCTCATTCAACCCTCGCAACCGCCCTGGGAAACACGTGTTGTTTCCTTCCATTTGTGGACGAAGAGACAGAGGCGAGGGAGGCTGAGCAAGCAGCTGGCAAAGGCTCAGAACCCAGAGCCACAGCTGTGCCGGGACAGCGGGAGACGGACAGGATGTTTCCAGCCATGTCCCTGCTGACTTCAGACCTGGACGTGACATGTGACAATGTGACAACATGATGACATGATGATGGCCAGTGAGGAGGGGGCGGGGCTGGACTGGAGAGTGTGGGCACCCACCAGGGCCAGAGAGGGCCCCGGAAGAGGGGGGTGGCCAGGGGCTGGGCCCACGGCAGGAACTGGGACACAGCCCCAGCGACGGCTCTCCCTGGAATGTCACAGAGACGCCGCCCGCGGTGGCGTCCAGGCTGCGTGGGGTGTGAGGTGACCGGGCCCCCTGGGGGCAGTGTGGCCAGTCCCTGAGGGGCGTGCAGAAGGACCCTGAGCTCCAGCACCTGCCCAGGCAACTGCTGTGCAACTCAGGCCCCAGCCCCCACCCCCCAGCCGTCTGTGAAAGGCGGTTGCAGGGCTCCGACCACCCCTGAGCCCCTTCCCGGCCTGGCCTCCCTGTCCGTGAACACGTGTTTGTCCCCCGACAAGGTCGCAGCGGCGCCGGGTCTGCCGCAGGGTGGCCCCGTGGGGCCCCGAGAGTGTGCGGCCGGGGGCCCAGACCTGTGGTGTGGACCGTGGCGGGCTCGCTCCTGGCGCTGGGGCCCCCCACGTTGAGGGCACGCACGTAGATCGTGTAGCTCCGCCGGGGCTGCAGCTGCACCAGCGACTCGCAGGTGGGGACGCCCACGACGGACCTGGGCGAGGAGGCAGAGCCGCGGTCACCGCGGTCCACCACGGACACGACGGTCTCTGTGCACTGACCGCCCCTGTTCCCGCCTCAGGCCGTCCCCCTCCCCCTCCCCTCCAGCGGGGAGGGTTTCCGTCCCCCACCACGTCCCTCTGTCCGTCTGGCTGCCTCTCCCGGGAGCCTCCCTGCACCCGCTGTCCCGGGGCCTCCGTCCTCCCCGCCCGTTCTGTCTCAGTTAACCCACCCCCGCCCCCCTCCACTCTGCCCTGACTGGTTTCCCGGCTCCGTGGCCACTGCCGTCCCGCTGCACTTAGTTTCCCTCCAGGGAACGTCTCGTGCGCCTGTTCGTTTGCTCGTCTCTGGTCTGTTTTCCCCGCCCGACCGCCACCTCCATGAGGGCAGGGAATGTGTCGTCCCGTCCCGTCCCCGAGCCCAGCACAGGCCCTGGGGCCACCGGGCCCTGGAGCTCGCCGCGTGGGCAGGTGGGAGACCTTCAGGATGAGAAGGCACCCCCGAGGGTTCCCCACGTGTCACTCACCGTCACCCCCGGTGACAGCCTTCCTGCCCCTTCCCACGAACACTGAGCAGCCTGAACGTTAGGTGCCTGCGGGCCGCAACTTCCGACCTGCTCTGCAGGCTCCCCACCTTCCCTGAGCTGTGTCCCCGTGCGTGTGTGTGTGTGGGGGGGAGTGGGTTCCTTGAGCCCAGCAAAGGGCCCCGTGACTCACTCGGTCACGCCCGAGGCTCCCGGCATCTCTGCCTGGGTCAGCTCCACCGTGTACGAGTCCACGGGACCCAGGTTCCCGGACTCCCAGCGGATCAGCGCGGCCTCCTCGCAGCTCCGCACCTCGCCGCTCTTGATGACGGGGGGAGCGGGCGCTGCACGCAGAGAGAGGGAGGGGCCACCATCGTTCACACCCGGCCATCTGGGCCGGAGCTCGGACAGCCCAGCCCCTCCTCCCACAAAAGACACTCAGGGCACGAAAAGCAGACCACGGGCCACAGACCAAATGTGCGTACCCTCAAATCCCCGTGTTGGAACCTCGTCCCCAGCCGATGGCACCTGGAGTCTGGGGGGGGGGCGGTGACTGGGTCATACATAGAGTGGAGGAGGTTTGGTACAGAAGAGACCCCTCTCCTCCACGGAGGACACAGCAGAGAGACAGCCGCCCGGGCACCAGGCCAGCCTGCTCCAGACTCGCGCCCCACGGACCCGAGACATGGGCCGTGGTCCGTGCGCTGCCCCCTCTACACTGTCCTCTTACAGCAGCTGGACGGTCTGGGGTGCCTGGGGTGGAGGGGGGGCTGCCAGGTTCAAACAGTCCAGTGACCGAGGGCAGTGGTCTCTGACATCCAGACACCAGCCGTGAGAAAACGTCCCTGCCACACCAGGCACGAGGATTTGGTGTGTTAAATACAAGGGAAAAAAATACACAGCTACCTCCATCCATGGAAATGAACCCCAAACCCCCGCCCCATGAGGAGGGCCGTGACTCCAGCCCCTTCCCCCGGGCGGGAAGGCTCTGCCGGGGATGCACGGCTGCCTCACCTGTCATGTACACCACACGCTCGCTGGCGGGGCTGACGCCGGCCCCGTTCTGAGCTGTGACCCAAAATTCATACTGGGTGTTTGGCACGAGATTCCTCACTGAGCAGTACGTTTCTTTGACGGTCATCGTAAACTCTGGGAGGAAAGAAGAAGAATTCAACCCCCAAACGGGCCGAGAGGTTCCTCATTCACATCGTGCTGCATCCCAAGTTGGAGATCCCAAGACCCGCCACAGACTCCTCCCATCCCTGTGCACACACCCCTGCCATGTGACTGGCTCTGGCCAATGGGACAGCAGCAAACTGGAGGCCGCCGGGCTCGGGAAGGGCAGGGGCACAGCTGTGCCGTGTGAGCCAGCCCAGTGCCTCCCGGAGGATGGGACCCCCCCTGGACAGCGGCCCTGGCCACCCATGCCACCCCAGCCAGGCCCCGACGTGCCTTTCCAGCCCCTTCTGTCCCGCCCGCCTGCCGGCCTCACAACCTCTGGGTAGCTCCCTGATGAGGGAACTCCCCTCCAAGGCGCTGGGGGAGCAGATGCGCCCCCCTGCCCCTCACCCCCACTTTCCCCACTGCCAGGGCCTCTGAGCGGCCTTAGCCATATTCCAGGGCGCGACCGTGTTCCCGGCAGAGCCTCACCTGCTTGGCCCTTGCCCGGGGCGCCGTCCCGCGCCGGCCGGCCGGACAGCTGGTAGCTCTCCACCGTGTCGTCGGAGCACAGGCTCCAGCACACGCGGACCGAGGAGCCCGAGGCGGAGTTGGGGGCCTGTGGGTTTATCACTGGGGCGGAAGGGGCTGGGAGAGGAGGAGGAGGAAGGTCAACACCCCGAGTTCCAGCCCCGACAGGTGTGGCTCGGCAGACTGGGTGTTGTCCCACCCGTCAGGAGATTGCTGTTTAGATTCGCAGCAGGGGGCACACGCCTGGGTTGCAGGCCAGGCCCCTGGGCCGGAGCGTGTGATCAATGCTTCTCTCCCACATCAGTGTTTCTCTCCCTCTTTCTCCCATGCTTCCCCCCTCTCTAAAAATAAATAAAATATATTTTTTAAAAAAATCGCTGAATTCTAGTATCATTCTCTGGAGTATGTAATCACAGTGACACGTCTGAGCGCTAGCTACCTGGCACCATGTGACAGGCTGCACACGCAGCACCTCGTTTAACTCTCACCCTGTCCCCACGGGGATTATCACGTCCGTTTTACAGACCAGGAAACGAAGGCTCAGAGAGGTTGAGTAAGCTGCCTAGGGTCACACAGCCAGGGACTCGCACCAGCTCCATCGGGTTCCCGAGCTCATCTCTCAACCCCCGTGCGAGCTGAGGACATAAAATGCAGGGCCCCTGTTTGGTGTAAGTCAGACGGGAAGGCAGGTGTCTGTCTACGAGGAGGGCGAACTACCAACGCTGACAACCACTCTGGACTTCCCCGAGCCGGGCGCTGGCTCCCTGGAGAGTGAGAACAGGCACTCACCCTGGGGCTCAGCCTCTGTCTCCACCCTCACTGGCCACGAAGACAGACCACGAAGCTAGGGGGGCAGAAATACTCGTTCCTAGACCTTCATGACTTTCCTGGCCGTCCAAGCGGCTCCCTCCAAGCCCTGGGGTGCCGGGCATGCCACCCGCCGCAGGGCAGAGGCGCACCTGGGACGGCATTGATGGAGCCCAGCAGCTGCTCCACGTCGGAGAAGTCCAGGGTCTGGTCCTCCAGGGCCGGCTGCGTGGAGACGTCCACGTTGGTCTCCGTTTCCAGGAACTCTCTGAGTCTGTTGGTGGGAAGAGACACGCTGACCAGGATGGAGCGCGGCTTCCCTGGGTCATCGCTGGGCTGGGCCGCGGGCCATGCATGGAGAGGGCCCACTGCTCCTGTGCCTGACGCAGGAGGGCCACCGGCGGGGACGGGCGGGGCGGATCCGTGCCCCAGAGGGGAGAGGCGGGAGTGGGCAGGCATGCACCGCCGAGCTGCGGGTCCACAGCCTCTGGGAGACCCCTCCCGGACACCACCCCAGCCCAAGAGGCACAGGCTCCCCGGGGACTCGGCTTTCCGACCGTGGAGCAGGGCTCGGGGTCTCCCTGCACCTGTGCACCTGCTCCTGGCAGTCACAGAACCTGAAACTGGCCTGCCTCTGCCAGCACCCACGTCTTAACTGTCGTATCCGGAAGCTTCAGCATTCAAGTTGCTTTTCGTGCCCTGCGTTATTTAACTCCCGCAGACCTGCCCCTGTTTGCAGATACGAAGGCGGGCCCCAGGCTGGCTGGACACCCACGGCTGCGGGGGCGCAGGGCGCGGACTCCCGTCTGACTCTGAGGCATGTGCGCTTCCTGCCAAGCTCAGTCTGGGCCCTGGCCCCGCTGGGGGACACTGGGGACGCGCTGGGGGTCTCAGCTCCTCCTGGAGAGGTGAGGGGCTCGTGGAGGAGACCTGACCCTGGGCCTGCCGGCTAGGCCTCACCACATGCTCCCTTCCAGCCTGAGACTCTGAGGTTCGGTCCCGGGGTGTCCTGTGACCCCGCACCACTGTCCGGCAGCCGGCGCTGTTTGATCTTAGGGTCACACACGAACGCCCAAACTGGGGGTACACAACCAAATGGAACCGCGTCTCCCTGGACTCCGGTGGGGTGGGGGGAGGGACAGAGGAAGGCACACGTGGGGACGAACTATTACCTGTCAGCCATAGCCATGGCATCCTACAGAGGGGGAGGAAAGGAGACAATGTTACACCAATTCTGGAAATAATTTCTCAAAACTATGTAATGATGGAAACATTAGAAAACTGGGAAACCGGTAACAGAGAAACACCGGCGGCACCCCACACTCTAACGAAGCCACCCTGAAGAGGCCCGCGCAGTTTGGTCCATGAGATGTGCCCTCGCTCGGCCACTCGCGCACTCTCTCTCCGCGCTGTGGGCGGTCTCTGCGGCGGCGGCGGAGGTTCTGAGAGACGCCTCGAGGTTCTCGGCGTGGGAACTGTGCTGTCTGCCTGCCTAACCGGCCTCCCGTCCCCCGCGGGCCGGACACTCGGGCGGCCCCCAGCCTCTCCCCGCCGTGAGGAGCAGCGGGGAGGACACCTTCACGCGCATCCCTCCCCCTGCCCACTGGGTTCGGTCTCGGGACACAGTGGGATCGTGGGACGTGGGGCCTGGTTCGCAGGGTCTGAGCGCTGAGGGCTCCCGAGGGGCCGCCGCCGGCTCTCAGGCCCAGGCCCAGGCCCCTCCTCGGCCCCAGCAGGGCTGGAAGGAGGCGCCGTGGGGCTCTGAGGGGGCGGGGTGGGCTCGGTCAACCCGGAGGCCGCAGAGACACACAGGAAGCTCCAGAGGCTGGGGGGCCCCCCTGCACCCCCGCAGATCCTGGACACCAGGACCCCCCTCTTCCTGCGGGGCCTCGTGAGGAGAGGGGGCCGGGCTGGGAGACTGCAGTCCCCACAGCCCAGCCGTCAGATTTCTGGCAGATTTCATTAGAATTCAAGGAAATTAAGAAAAATTTTTTTTGCACATTTAAGTTTACGAAGATTTGAAATCTCGAGGTGACTTTTTAACCTGGACAGCTTTCTCCCAGAGCTCCGAGGGGCCATCGGAGGCGGCCAGAACCCTTGGGGCACTGTGTTTGCCCAGCTCCAGGAAGAGGAGGGGGGGACAGATCCCTGGCGACCAGGACAGAGGGACTGACCCCGGCGCCGCCTGAGCAGCGGTGGGGGGAAGGGGTCAGCTGGGTGTGAGCCCGCCCGGCCGCTGGGGGGTGACAACCCCCCGTCGCGAACACCCAGCGGAATACAATGGACGCCGACTGTGAGAGTCGACCCCAGCACTGCCAGGCGCGGAGGGGACAGTCTGACCTGCGGGGGCCCTGTCACCCCGGGGCCCCGCTGCGTGGCGCGCCCTGGCTGACCTTGATGAAGTCCGCCTTCTCTTCGTGACAGATCTCCTCCACGGTCTCCATGAGCTCCCTGCAGGCGTCCAGGTTTTCGCCGCAGCTGACCAGCTGCGCGTACAGGGCCTCCAGCTTCTCCTTCTTCCTCTCCCCGAGGGCCTGCACCTTGTCTTCGTATTTTTGGGCCAGCGTTTCCAAGATCTCGTTGTAATGGGACTCGAAGTTTTGCTCCTGTCTCCCGAAATTCTCCTGCAAGACAGCGGACCTCAGCCGTCCTTTCGGTGCCTGCGGCGTGTCAGCCACAGAGTCACCGGGGCGCGAAAATGTCTCCACCCAGAGACGCCTCCGTCCCTCCCCGTCACCCTGAGCCTGGACACTGGGGTGGGTGCAGGGGCTGCTGGGACAGGGGTCTCCAGCCAGAGTCCCAGGATACCTCTAACAGAAAGCACTGCTCTCTCTGTCTTGCTCTTCACCCTCCACTTTCCACCCTGCTCCTCACCCTCACACCACCTCCCTCTTTGCCATCCTCCCGTTGCCGTGACAAGCAACCAAGTTGATCATGGGTGATGAGTCTGCCTGCGCTGGAGCCTGGGACCTTAACGTGGAGACGTTTGCCCCGGGAGAGGCCCACCTGAGCTCTCAACGTCTCGTGACGGCACCCCCTGCCCCACTCCCTGATGCCTGGGCAGCGTTGTCCAGATGCCAGGACCACGCAGATTCTCACAGCAGCTAAGAGGAAGGGGAAGGGGGACCGTGGCCCCAGGGGAGAAGCAGCACCTGTCCGCCCAGCTCACCCACGTGCTCTCACCTCCACAGTGATGAACACCTCCTCCAAGTGACTGGCGAAGTTCTCCATCTCGATGATCTGCTTTTCCAGCCTGTACATGTTCCTGTGAATTTCGTCCTGCCCGACGGAGCATCGCCGGAGGTCAGCGCCGCAGCCCTCCCCACCCCCGCCCCTCCTGCGCCAGGCGCGTGAGGTTCAGCCCCCGCCGGAGCCCTCGGGATGCCGGCGCGACACCCAGAGGGAGGGGAAGCGAGACCCACTCACCTTGGCGCTTTCCAGCGCCTTGCTGAGCGGCGTCACCTCATGCCCTCGGTGCTCCTCCAGCTCCTTCTCCGCCGCTCTCAGCGGAGCTTTGCAGGTGGCGCAGAAGACGTCGGCGGCCTCCTCCTCGTCCTCCTCCTCCGGGATGACGTAGCACTCGTACTCCTCGCTGGAGCGGCCGCGCGCGAACCGGTAGGCCTCCCGCAGGTCCCGGCACTGGCCCTCGGAGCCCCACCCGCCGAAGCCCAGGCCGTCGGCCTCCTCCGCGGCCTCGGCGCCGCCGAGTCTCCAGTCCGTCTGCCGCGCGGCTGGTTCTCCCCTCGTCGCCACGTGCGGGGGAGCATACTCCGAAACCTCTATCCTGGGCGCGCTCTCGGTAACGAACTCGTCGTCCGCCAGTTCGTCGTCCGCCAGTTCGTCGTCCTCTTCCAGTCCGTACAGATGGACCAGCTCATCCACTGCCTCCTCAAGGTCTCGCGGAGGCTGACCCTTGGCTGCGCCCCTGGGCTCACTGGTCACCTCCGCCGGGGCAGCTCCTCTTCTCATCCGCCCGCTCTCTGCCGGGAAGGCCTGCAGCCGGTCCCCGGAGTCGTACAGATCCATGGGGTGCACGTAGGGGTGCACGTGGGCGACCCTGCGGGGCCTGTCCCTCTCCGGCCCGTCCCCAGCTCCCTCCTGCACGGTGGCTCGGGAAGCCCTGGGCAGCACCTCTGCACTAGAAGGACTCCTCCTGGGCGGTCAGCCGCGGATATCCTGGGGGGTCCTGGAACACAGGAGGGGAAAAACTCCGTTTCTGAGGAGGTCGCTGCAGGAGACGGTCCCTGGATCGGGCCCCACGCAGTTGCAGTTTGTACAACTATGGTCTGAGCAGCTCGGGTGTGGCTGCACCTCGAACCACCTGTACAGAAAAGTTTGCCTCCTGCTGGAGGGTTTTTTTTTTTTAAGATTTTATTTATTTATTTTTAGAGAAGGAAGGGAGGGAGAAAGAGAGAGAGAAACATCAATGTGCAGTTGCTGGGGGCCGTGGCCTACAACCCAGGCATGTGCCCAGACTGGGAATCAAACCTGCGATGCTTTGGTTCGCAGCTCTCGCTCAATCCACTGAGCTACGCCAGCCAGGCGGAGGGTTTTTTTTAGATAATATAAACGTTCTAAGGGTGCTGTTCACAAGCAAAGAGAAGTCCAAAGACCACTGATCCATATACAAAAAAAAACAAACAAACCCAAACGACCCTTTTTGTCTAGAGAGACAGGTATTTTTCCCATTTAACTGCACAAGTCACAGAATTGTTGTACCATGTTCACCAACCCGCATAAGTGCTTCACCAACAACACACGCCCACACAGAACCAGGAAGCACCTGAGCGGCTTATCTTATCCCCTAATAGCTTTAAAGAATAACCTTATTGAAATGTAATTTACATGCCATAAAAGTCACCTGTTTCAAGTGCACAATTCTGTAATTTTTAGTAAACACCCCACGTTACGCAACCATTATCATGATCCATTCCTGACGCCCCTTTCTAAAAACCTGTGGTAACCAAATGCTTTAAAAACAAACAAACAAATATTATTAAACTATTCCAACATCATACATATGAAATAGATTGTGAGGAAAATTTAAAAAGCAAGACTAACTTCCCCCCCAGCCATGACTTTTATATTCAAATAGCTTCTAAACGAAATGTTCCGAGATGGAGGGAAAAGGAACATGAATAATAAATTGTCGTCTTAGACACGATGACACTGAGGCTGAGAGAGGTGAAGTAATAAATCACGGTCTGGGAAGGATACATTAGCTAGACAGCGCCTCCTCTGTGCCGTAAGCTACGGTTAAAAATAAGAACGACTTCTGCAAGCGCAGTGTGGGGGGTGTGTCCCTGCCCTTGAATTAGAAGAGTCCCCTCCAAAATGTCTCTTAACCTTTTATGGGTCGTGGATGCCTCTGAGAATCCACTGAAAGCTGTGAATTCTCTCCCCAAAAGTGAGCCCGGATGGGCACAATTTAGCCTCATATTTTAGGTGCTCGGCCATGCACCCCAGCCTCAGCCGCAGAACCCTGCGCGAAAACGTGGGCGGTGCTGTCGTGCAGCATGGTTCGGTGAGCTTCACGGGCGCCGTCTCAACCGGACACTGTGCGACCGGACACGTTTGTGCGGGAGGACAGAGCACGCACCGACCAGTGAAAGATGATGACAAGGCTGTTTTTCAGTATCTGAACCAAAGCACGGAATTGTGCTTTGTCAGCATGCACATTTAGGGTTCCAGACTGTTCTAGCAAACGGGCCCCTGCACTTTTAAAGACACTCTCGACACAGGGCAGGAACCACCAGCACCCGAGGCTCTCGCAGCCTGCACCAACACCGCATTCCGGTAAAGTGAATCCCCAGTCCCGGAAAGGCACAGAAAACACTCACCCTGTTTGCTGTAACTCACACCCCTGAAATCTACCACGCTCTCCCTGGTCTCTAAGGGAAAGATACTGCATTAACACTGAGGCATTAAGTTAGCGGGGCTCAATGATACAAATAGCATTAGAATATTATTACTAACCAAAAACTTGCCTGCCAATTGAAGGGTCCACGAACTCTTCATTCACCACCGAGGCCGCGGGTGATGGCTGGAAACCCGCACCCTGGCTGGGCCGGCTTTCCCTCCCGGTGACCTCTGCGTGTCCGTGAGCCGCCCCTGTGCTGCCCCTGCGCCGCCCCTGCCTGTGTTCCACCAGGGCTCTGCGACCCGGCGGGCGGTGAAGGTGACGGAAACACGAGCTGGCTCTGGCTGCAAATAGCAACAGGCTTGCTGTGAGTGAAAGCCCAAATATAGACCTGCCACTTCTGCTCCAGTTTCACCCGGAGAGGTCAGATGACATCAGCTGGGTTGGTCCTCACTATGGGGACTTGAGTCCCGGGTTTCCCCCGAAGGTCTCAGATACGTGGCTGTGCACGGATAGAGGGCTGGGGCTGGGGGCGGGGGGGCGGCCGCAGCCCCGCAGGGAAGGGGGGCTTTTGCAAAGCCACGTGCTGTGCACCTTCCGCCTGGGCTGAGGGTCTTTTTCCAAAGTGGTTTTGAACAAGCACAGCTCCAAAGGCAATCGAATGCAACTTAATCCCCACCCCCCTCCCCACAATTCCTTTCATGTCTATCCCAGGATGGGACTTGTTCTCCCCTCTGGATACAGACCCAGCAGACCGGCGATTTCCTGCTCCCTCTTGGGTCACACAGTGCTAGGGCCTGTTGAAGACCTAGTCTCCGCTCAGTAATTAAACGTACGGTTCAACATGATAATCGAAAAGTCACACTGAGTGTAGCCAGCATTGCGATCTCCTCCTCTCCCCGGCTGGGGGGCCTCTCTAGCTAAAAGCCCACCCTCGGGAAGGAGGAACAAGGGGGCCTCTTTCTCCACTCCTCTGGGGCAGGCTGAGGGGCTAAGGTGGTAAGACAGCTCCCGTGTGAGCGGGTGTCAGCTGGTGTAGCTGCAGGCTCTCTGGGGCTAGCAGGCGCCTGTTGCTCTCTGTCTCTCAGCCGCTCCCTCTCCCGAGCAGCCTCTGACCTTCTCTGAGTGTCCCGTCACGGAGAGCTTTCCCCCTAAAGTTCCCACGACCGGGCCGAGAAACCTGCTCCCCCAGGCCTCAGCCCCGGTGGGCCCCGTCTGAGGCCTCTCCCGCGAGGCCCCCTCACCCGCGAGGCTGGCTCTCCGTAGGCAGGATGGAAGTGACTCCTTGCTGGCTCTGGGCTTCCTGGGACCCACTTCTGGATCTTGGGGAGCAGGCCCCATCCTCGGTGTCAGCGAACTCTGGGAGGCAGGCCTCCCAGTGCAGCCGCCTCCCCTGGCTCTGCCATTGAAACAGCCAATCCTCTTGGCTCAGGCCACCACCGGCCCACCTGCAGGAAAGACGGCACACTCTCTGAGGGGTCCCTTCGAAGTCCCCTCCCAGAGCTCGGAGGTAGAGGGGGACTTCCAACCCTTCCCCCAGCCCGACAACAGCTCTCTCCAGAGAGATCGCTCCTGCTCCCACTGGTCTCTTAACTCTGACACTTTTGTATTTTCTTTCTTTTTTTTTTTTAAGATTTTATTCATTTGTTTTTAGAGAGGGAAGGAAGGGAGAAAAAGAGAGAGAGAGAGGGAGGGAGAGAGAGAGAGAGAGAGAAACATCAATATGCAGTTGCTGGGGGCCATGGCCTGCAACCCAGGCATGTGCCCTGACTGGGAATCGAACCTGTGACACTTTGGTTCGCAGCCCGCGCTCAATCCACTGAGCTACACCAGCCAGGGCTGTATTTTCTTTGATTAGCTGAGAGCATGAACTAGGCCCTGGACCGTTTCCTTGACACGTCTGCCTGCAGGGACTTGATCTCAGCCTATTTTACATCTATTGCTTTTGGGGGGGGGGCCCAATCAAAATCTCATTTTTAAAAATACCATTACTGCAGGGCATCTATGAGATAAAAATTTAGAAGCAAAATAAAATGTCAAGTGTGAAAAAACTTTTAAGGATTGTTCAAAGATGTCTGCATAGGAATGTTCGTCGCGGCATTGCCTCTACTGGCGGAAATCACATTAGCTAAGGTAATATATTACAAAACAGTCTGAGCCCCGGCTGGTGTGGCTCAGTTGGTGGGGCATCGTCCCCGCAAAGTGAAGGGTCACCAGTTTGAGTCCCAGTCAAGGCACAAAGTTTCTCTGCCTCTCTTTTTCCCTGGCTTCCCCTCCTCTCTAATAAAAAAACAAACAGTTAAAAAATAGTTTAAGGAAAAAGAACTCACTTCAGCTAAAAGGTTCTCTCCCCACGAGGCCTGGGCAGCAGTTCCAAGCCTGAGGACCCCTGTCCCACGAAGGCACTGAAAGGGGGCGGGGCACCACGGGACAGAGGCACCTTTAGACCCAGACGCCTTCAGCTCGTCTTTGGGGCGGGGCGGGGCGGGGCAGGGCGGGGGGGGGGGGCAGGGAGCGTGACCTAACCATGGCTTCCGCCTGGTCCCCTTTGGTCTTTGCTGTGTTCGCCTTGGGCACAGCAGCACGTGCAAATCTGCTTCCAGGCTGTCTCGGTTCAGAACCTTCAAAAGCTGCTCCACGGGTTCCTGCATCCAGCCCTCAAAAGCCCCGTGTTGGTGAAGGGTTCCAACCGTGGCTCCCTGGGCACCTCCCCACCTCCCCTCCCTCTTAGCCCTTGCTGAGCGTACTTGCAGGGCGGGGGCCGCCAGGCACGCCCCCGGGCGGGCGGAGGCCAGAGCTGACTCGGTCCGCGCTGCTTCTATGGGTCCAGCTCCAGCCCACCCTCCGTCCTCACGTGCAAACCGCATTTCCCGAGTTCTGAACCAGGTCCTCAGGAGCCAGGTGGTCTTCCCTGGCCGGAGGATCTCTGTACCTTACGACAAGTTTCTTTGCTGAGTACTCAGTTTCCTTAATTCTGAATTGAAGAGGCAGCACACAGGGTTCCTGAAACATGCTTTGAAGACAGGTATCTTTTTGGGATGCCTCCTGTGTCCCACCCCCAAACAGGCACACGGCGGACCCTCCCTGAAAGCCTGTTGAGTTGATAACAATAAGTTCGTGGCTACTGCGCAGTGCTTGGCGTTCCAAACATAACTCTTCCGTTTAATTGACTGGTGTCTCCAGGAAGTCTGCACCTTCCTTGAGAGCAGGTCCCAGGAATCCACTGGCGCCCCGACCCGGACGACGGAATCAGCGGAGGCCCGGTTCCCAGGGGTTCACAGGAACTCGTTCACCCGGCAAATCCCTTCCCCACGTCGTACCGCGGCAGCAAAGGCGAGGCCAAGACTGGGATTCCCAGGCTCCGGGGGATGTTGCTTCACTGAGCGACTCCGAGGGCAAGGTTCCAGGGGGACCCTCGGCCTTTTCATTGGTCATCCTGGGCCAGGACTCGGCCAATCCCGGACGCCGTTGGAAGCCTCCCAGCCACACCCAGCCAATCAGAAGTGCAGGAGGGGCGGGGATGGGGCGCGGACGCGATGACAGTCCGGAGCAACATGTCGCGGCAGGAACCTGCCGGTCCCGTGGCTGGGGCTACGAGAAGGCCGGGCCGCTGACCGCCGGCACCATGGACGACGAGCAGCCCGACAGCCTGGAGGGCTGGGTGCCGGTCCGCGAGGACCTGTTCGCCGAGCCGGAGCGGCACCAGCTGCGCTTTCTCGTGGCCTGGAACGACGCGGAGGGCAAGTTCGCGGTGACCTGTCACGACCGCACGGCGCAGCGCCAGCTGCGGCGCGAGGGGAACCGGCCGGGGTCTCCGCCCAGCTGGGCCGGCCTGCTCTCGGCCGCCGGGCTGCGCGGCGCGCACCGGCAGTTGGCGGCACTGTGGCCGCCGCTGGAGCACTGCTTCCCCCCGCTGCCACCGGAGCTGGAGGCGGGTAGCGGCGCCTGGGGCCTGTGGGAGCTCGTGTGGCCGGCGCGCGCGGGCCTCGGCGAAGCGGGGCTGCAAGAGCTGTGCGCGCGGCTGGAGCGCTACCTGGGCCTGGCCGCGGACGGCTGCGGCGGCGCGGCCGTGCGGGACGCGCTGCTTCCGGCCGAGGGCGGTGCGCCCGACTGCGAGAGTCCGCGTGCCTTCCGGGAGCGCGCCCTGCGCGCGCGGTTCGCCGAAGCGGACGCGCGCCTGCGCCAGGTACGCTGCAGGCGGGACCCGCGTTAGCGTTCCCGGGCCACCAGAGGGCGACCAGGGCGAGGGTGGGGGTCTTCCACGAGAGACAGGCTCCACGAGGAGCAAGTTCACGGTCTGACGTGAAGGGGGCGCAGGGTCACCGGTGCGCGCCCCCTGCCGGGAGCAGCCAGGGGGATGCTGCCGGGGCGCGTGGGAGTCCCAGGCAGAGGAAGTGTTAAGTTAGAGCGTAGTTTTGCGCTCTGCAGAGACGAGAGCCACCGATTTGACTCTAAATGAGTCTCCGCTGGGGGCTTGGCAGCTCCGTGAACCTGGGAGCTGAGCGAACCTATACGCTGACGTATTTGGAGGCACCTCGCTAATGTCCTTACGAGGTTCTAGACAGCGCAGCATCACAGAACCTGTGTCATCATAAAAGTGAAGAAGAAACATCCGCAGAGATAACCACTGTTCATATTTGACGAGTCTTTCAGGTCCTTTTCTCTTAAGCAGTTTGTACGCAGTTGAGATACGATTTTGAGCTCTGCTTTCCCTCGATGCACTGAGGTGTCCAACGTTGAGGTTTCCTTCGTGTTGTTTGTGTGGTGTGGTCTTATAAACACTGCTCATACCTGAGCTTTCTGTACTTTTTCTCCTTCCAGATCCTTCAAGGGCGCGAGAGAGCCAGCACCATGGTGGCACTGATGGAGGTTTACCGAGAAGAAGATGAAGCATACCAGGAATTCGTTACCTTGGCAACCATGTTCTTCCAGTATTTACTGAAGCCATTCAGAGATATGCGAGAGTTTGCGACTTCATGTAAGCTTGATATTTTGGTATGTTTTCTTTATGTTTTTACTTAATTTGATATACTCTTTGTCACATGTTATTTCTTTTTAGTCACATTGAAGATTCTGTCTGTGTTGGACTGTTAGTTTCACCCTTATGTTTAGATGATATATATATATATATATTAAAGTGATATAAAAATGGAAACATTTTACATCGATCATCTTCTTAATACATTCAGATTTCTAGAGATTTTCAAGGATTGGACGCATTCTTCGCTGATGACTTGTTTTTGATGTGATGCTTATTTAGCTCCTTTTCTGCCTCTAAAAACACATACAGCTTCATCAGAAATGAGATGGAACTTTAGGTAGCCAAGGTCCTGGACTGTAATTCAGTGATTTAAACTTTAGTAGACGCTGTCACCATTCTTATCTTGTTGAGCCCTGAGACACTAGTTAGAATAAGCATATTTTTTTCCTCCATGATGCCCCAGAATATCCCTTTGTCTCCCAGGTGGTCCCCAACGTAGAACCTTATTCATTCTCCACAAGGAATTGCTGAATTCATGAAACTTAACTAAGTAGTAGCAATAAAAGTCATTGAAATTATCCATGAGAGCAATTTGCTTTCAGTTTCCTAATAGCTGTACATTACTAGTCTTTCTTTCTTGTGCAATTTCCCTTTCTCTCTAAAGAAATCCTTGGACGAGGACGACCTGGGCCCTAGAAGGATAGCGGCCCTGCGGAAGGAAGCCCAAGGATGGACCAGACGGGCGGAAGCAGCGGTAGTCTCCATTCAAGACATCACTGTGAATTACTTTAAAGAAACAGTGAAAGCACTGGCAGGTAATCATTGAAAATGCTACACGAGGACACACATAGTTTTCCTTTTTAAAGAGACACACATTTGAGTGTCTCTTTAGTCCCAGGCCGTAGGTCCTGGGGCTTCAGCGTAAACAGACACCGTCCGGCCTGACGAGGAGAGACACATCTTAGCGACACGTCCATCGTATGCTCGGGAAAGTGGCCGTGGCCACAAGCCCCATGGGGAAAATCAACACAGGGCTCGGGGAGCCTGAGGGGAACACTAGGCTCCGTCAGAGTGGTCAGCGAGGGCCTCAGGGCGGGGAAGGGGCAGTTGCCCTGGTAACTGAAGGGGAAGTGGAATTTGAGAGAGCAAACAAGGGAGGGAACAGTGTTGCAGGCAGAAGGAACAGCATGGACAAAGGCTTGAGGGAGCTTGGCCAGCGTGAGGGACTTTGAGAACGCCGCGGGGCTGGAACAGAGTGCGGTCCTCAGGTGGCAGAGTCTGCAGGTGAGACCGCAAGATGAGGCCCTGGGGGGCCTTGTGAGCTGGGCAAAGGGTGTTTGTTTTGTCTTAAAACAATCCTTGTCGATGGCAGTTCCAAAGAGGGAAAAAACTCACTTTACTGTCTGTCAGCCAGTTTGATAAGTCATAGGACATGAGCAGGACAGAACACCACACAGCTACTAAGCACGATTCTCTGTTTCTGTGAGCGGCAAGACTTCCATGACACAGGAAGTGAAATAAACAAGATACACAGGGGTGGGGAAAAAGTAGGTTTACAGTTAAGTATACAAAACAGTTTATTCTTTCATTATTATTTATTAATTATGGTATTATTTCCCAAATGAGGAGTTGTAATTCCACTTTGCCCCACCCTGTAAAGAAGACTGATGATCTCATGGATTTGGGTTTTTGGTCAAACTATCCTGTCTGTCTAGCTAGACATAGAAAGAGTCTAGAAGTATATGTACTGAAATGTAAGAAGCAATTGCTAGTAGGTGAGATTCATGATTATTTTACTCTTTTTAAAAACATCACACCCTGGCTGGCGTAGCTCAGTGGATTGAGCATGGGCTGCAAACCAAAGTGTCACAGGTTCGATTCCCAGTCAGGGCACATGCCTGGGTTGCAGGCCACAGCCCCCAGCAGCCGCACATTGATGTTTCTCTCTCTCTCTATTTCCCTCCCCTCCCTCTCTAAAAATAAATAAAAATAAAATCTTAAAAAAAAAAAAACAAAAGACATCACACATCTAAAATGTTATATCAAGGACCATGTGTTATTTGTGTGGTAACAAAAAAGTCATTAAAACTAACTTTCTTTTAAAAAGGATGTTTTGCCGGTAATGTGGGAGGCAATAAAAAAAAAGAATTAGCCCAGGGTAGATGTTTAACTTTTTAAGGAGCTGTACTTAAGCTTTAAGTTACTCCTTGTACTCGGACAGGGATGCAGAAGCAAATGGAGCAGGACGAGAAGAGGTTTGGCCAGGCGGCCTGGGCCACCGCCGCTCCCAGGCTGGAAAGACTCAAGCTGATGTCAGCTCGAGAGACGCTGCAGCTCCTGAGGGCCAAAGAGCTGTGTTTGAACCACAGAAGGGCTGGGATCCAGGGGAAGGTAAGCTGAGATGCAGGTGACTTTGTATTAGAAACAGACTTCGGTTTTCGATAGCATCTTTCCTTGAAGAAGAGCTTTCTCTCCTATCCCAGCACCATCTTCTGGTGGATGAGAATTTCTGGACCAGGGAAGATGGGCTATAACGTTTCCCTCTGCTCAGGGTGGTTTTGCAATACTGTATTGCAGGAGTCGCTGGCTGACAGCAGTGAGCTCGGTGCTGAAGGAGGGAATGTACCGCGATGTCAGCCCAGCGCTGTTCTCAGCAGAACTTGAGAACAGTCAGAGGTTCTGCATTCTGGGGTCACAGTCACTCCCTGTCTTCCTGCACTGTCATGGCTTCTGAGCAGGACACGCTGTGAAGGCCTCAGTGACATGTATTTTCCTCCAAACCCGAGTGCTGTCATGTGTTTCAGGGAGGAGATAAAGTGTTTGTGAAAATGTGGAATGGGGCATTTTTGTTTCATTAAGTGAAATAGTGTTTCTTCTTGATTTGCTTTTTTTATATTTGGTACTGAGCGAAGCATAGAAAATAGCTCAAATGCTTTGAAAGTTCCCTTTGAATATACGAAATATTTTAACTTGCTCTTATTTTTTTTTCATGAAAACAAGATGGAAGATCTTCCAGAAGAAGAAAAGAATATAGATGTTGTAGATGAACTAGAAATACAATTTTATGAAGTTCAATTGGAACTATACGATGTTAAATTTGAGATATTAAAATATGAAGAAATCCTACTTACCACACAGTTGGACTCTATTAAAAGACTTATAAAAGGTACAATTTATATTTAAAATATATATTAAAATGTTTAAGTTATACATTCAAGGAAATACAGACCTTATTATCAACCTCTTCTTATAAATTATCTGAAATATCTACTGAAATTTCCTAGTTTCCTTTAAGTATTTTTATTATTCAATAATATAGTCCTTGTTAAACAGACAGCAAAATAAAGGAAAACCTTTAATAACTCAGTTCCATCGGGTGGACATACTTAGTAATAACAATTTGCTGATGAGCTTT